GAGTGGTTATACTAATATCAGACAAAATAGACTTTAAGGGAAAAAAACGTGTTTGAGAGAAAAGAAAGATGTTATAATGATAAAAGCATCAATCATCAGAAAGATATAACAGTTATAAACACACACACCTAACAGCTAAGCCCCAAAATATGTGAAGCCAAACAGACAGAATTAAAGAGAGAGAAATAAGCAGTTCAGCAGCAATGATTGGAGTCTTCGATAACCCCACTCTCAATCATTGCTAGAGCAACTAGATACAAAATCAACAAGGATATAAATATGTCAATAATACTGTAAAAACAATTTGACCTAATTGACATAGATAGCAGACTCCTTCCAACAAAAACAAAATACACATTCTTCTCAAGCACACATGGAACATTCTCCAACATAGACCATGTGCCAGACTATAGAACAAGCCTCAATACATTTAAAAGGATTGAAGTCATTCAAAGTACATCCTCTGAACACAATAGAATTAAAGTAGAAATCAATAACAGAAAAATTTGAGCGCGCTTGGGTGGCTCAGTCAGTTAAGCGGCTGTCTTCAGCTCAGGTCATGATCCCAGGGTCCTGGAATTGAGCCCCACATCGAGCTTCCTGCTGGGTGGGGAGCCTGCTTCTCCCTCTCCCTCTACCCCTCTTCCCTGCTCATGCTCTCTCTCTCAAATAAATAAATAAAGTCTTTAAAAAAAAAAAGAAAGAAATTTGAAATATTCACAAATACGTGGAATTTTTACAACATACTCCTAAATAACCAATGAGTGAAAGAAGAAATCACAAGAGATATTAGAAAATATTTTGAGATAAATGAAAACACAGCATACCCAAAGCAGTGCTTAGAGGGAAATGTATATAAGCTATAAGTGCCTAAATTTTTTTAAAAAGAAATATCTCAAATAACCTAACCTCCTACATTAGGAAACTACAGAAGAAAAGAAAACTAAACCCCAAAGCAGAAAGAAGGTACTAATAAAGATAAGAGAAGAAAGTAGGACAGAAAAACAATAGAGATTATCAATGAAACCAAAGCTTTTTTCTCTGAAAAGATGAACAAAATTGACAAACCAAGAAAAAAAAAGAGAAAAAAGAATCCATTATTAAAATTTTTTAAATCAGGAATTAAGGATTATAAGAGAATAGTGTGAACAACTGTGTGCCAGCACATTGGATAGCCTAGATGAAATGGAAGAAGACACAAATGACTGAGCTAAAGAAACAGGAAACCTGAAAAGACCTAAACAAAGAGATTGAACTGGGAATTTGAAAACTTCCCATGGAAAAAAAAGCCCCCAGTCAAATGGCTTCACTGGAGAATTCTACCAAACATTTAAGGAAGAATGAGATCAATCCTTCACAAACCCTTCCAGTAAATAGAGGAGGGAACAGCTCCCAACTCACCCACGAGGCCAGTATCACCTGATACCAAAACTGGACAAGACACATCATGGCAAGAGAAAACTGCAGGCCAATATCCCTTATGAATATAGTTGTCAAATTCCCGCACAAAATATCAGCAAACAGAATGCAACAACATATAAGTATCATGCGTCATGACCAAGGGACATTTATCCTGGGAATGCATGTTTGGCTTAACATCCAAAAGCAGTAATATAATGCACCATATTAATAGAATACAAGGCAAAACCACATGATCATATGTGCAGAAAATACGTTTGATAAAATTCAATACCATCAATGATTTTTTTAAACTCTCAGCAAAAAGGAATAGAAGGGAACTTTACCAACCTAATAAAAGGCATCTATGAAAAACTTTCATACTTAATGCTGAAAGACTAAATGTTTTTCCCCTAAGATTGGGAACAAACAAAGATACATTTTTTTCTCACAATTTCTATTCAACCCTACACTGGAGTTTGTAGCCAGTGCAATTAGATAAGAAAAAGGAAAAAAGGGCATCCAGATACTTACTTTACAAGAAGTAAAACTGTCTTTATTCACATTCCACATGATCGTGTTTATAGAAAATCCTAAGGACAACCTACCCAATTAAAAATAAACAGACATCTCACAAAATCATATAAAAGGATTCTCAATATCATTTGTTGTTAGGGAAAACAATGTGATAATCACTACACACCTATTAAAGTGACCAAAATTAAAAAAAAAAAAAAAACAGATAGTAGGAATTGCTAGCAAGGGTACAAAGCAACAAGAACTCTCATTTATTGCTGATGGGAATGCAAAATGGCACAGTCACTTGGAAAGATAGCTTGGTGGTTTTTTACAAAGCTAAAGATAGCCTTACCATATAGTCTAGCAATATGCTCCTATGTATTTACCTAACATATTTGAAAAATTACATCCTCACTAAAACCTTCCCCTGTGTAATTACAGCGACTTTATTAAAAAACTGGACACAATCAAAATGTCCTTCAGTAAGTGATAAACTGGGGTACAATGGAATATTATTCAAAAATAAAAAGAAAAGAGATATCAAGCCACAAAAAGACATGAACAAATCTTCAAGGCATATTGCTAAGTGAAAGAAGTCAGTCTGGAAATATTACACACTGTATGATTCCAATTATATGACATTCTGGAAAAGGCAAAACTATGGTGATGGTAAAAAGATTGTTGGTTGCCAAGGGTTTGGAGAGAGGAAGGAAGGTGAAATGCAAGATATTCAAGTGGTGACACTATTCTGTGCAATGCTGTAATGATGAGTACATGACACCACACATTTGTCGAAGCCCATAGAACTTCACAGCACAAAGAGTGAACCTGAGTGTATGGAAGTTCCAAAGAGTCATTTAGGACGTCTGGGGAATCCCAGGATGGAATGCAGAATGTGATGAAACAACCAAACTGTGTCACAGTGTGTGCAACAGTCTCCCTGAAGAGGGTGGAAAGGAAAGGAACTGACCTAAGGAAATTTGGAAGTGAGTGGAGTCTGTAAGACTAAAGGCAAAAGAAACTGTATGTAAGCTAATAAAGTGGTTTCCTGTGGGATTGAGGTCACAATTCTGATACCACTGTGCGTATATATCACAACTGAATAAGTAAAGGATGGCAGGTGGTGGGAGCCAGGTTTCTCACTGTTGGAGTGGGAGCTTACAGATAAGCAAGGGGAAGAGGCTAGAGTGAGCCATATGGTGATGGATGAGAGTTGAAGACAGCAGTTGAATTCCTGTTTGGCTTCATGTATATGGTTGCATACATTTATAGGAATGTGTGTATGCAAAGGTCAGCATACAAAATTGGAGCGTAACTCTGCATTCCTTAACTGTGAGCTATTATTGATTTTTCCCAAAGGATGCAGTATGAAAGGGGGGAAAACAATAACTTCACAAAGGAGAAGCCTGACATACAATACTTTATCTAGGTGACCAAGGTCAGCATCAACAGTGATAAATCATGTTGATAAATGGCACTTTATCCCTGTGGCCTTCCCTCCCAGAAACACATAACCCCAGTCTAGTCAGAAGGAAAACATCAAGAAAATCCCAACCGAGAGGCATTCTACAAAATGCCTGACTGGCACACTCCAAACCTATCAACGTCATCAGAACAAAACAAAAAGAGAGAGTCTGAAACCATCACAGTCAAGAGGAGCCTCAGGAGAGAGAACTAGTAAACGTAATGTGTCCTTGATGGGATCCTGGGACAGAAAAAGGATGTTAGGTAAAAACTAAGGAACTCCGAATAAAGTAGGGATTCTAGTTAATAATGGATCGATACTGTTTCATTTAACGAGAACAAGTATATCCTACTAGGTCGATGTTCGTAGGGGAAACGATGTGGGGTGTATGGAAATTCTCTTTTCTATCATGGCAATTTTACTGTAAATCAAAAACTCTCCTAAAATCAAAAAGTTTATTTTTTTAAGTGGACAAAAGATTTAACTAGATATTTCACCAAAGAGACATGAATGGGAATAAGCCTATGAGAAAACTACTCGCCATCATTTACCGTTCAGAAAAGGCGATCTGAAGGTCCACGGAGATATCAGCCCACCTGTGCTTGCACGACTGCTGTATCAAGTGTTGGCAAGGTTGTGGATAAGCGGGAGCTTGCACACATGACCGGCGCAAATGTAAAATAGTACAACTGCTTTGAAAAACAGTCTGACCATTTCTTATGAAGTTAACCCCAATTTACCCTCTAACGGAGCAGTTCCGTTTGTCTCTGTCGACACAAGAGAAAGTAAAGCAAACGTTCGCTTTACAACTTGCATGTAAGTGTTCCCAGGAGCATTATTAGAATAGCCGCGAAGTGGACATACTCCCAAGTGTCCATCAGTAGGTCCCATCCAGTAGGATACTATTTAGCAATAAAAGGGAGCAGACTACTAATAGACGCTACCACACGCAAGAACCACAAAACCATCATGCTAAGTGAGGAGGCAGATGCAAAAGACTTCATATTTACTATTCAATGGATAGGAAATCTGTAGAGACAGAAAGCATACTAATGGTTGCCCGGGACTGGGGTTGAAGTGAAGACTCACTACTGACAGGCCTGGGGGACAGAACTATTCTAAGACTGGATTTACTGGTTGCAAACCTGTACCTTTACTAAAAATCATTGAATTATACACATAAAAAGAGGTGTAGCCTATAAGTTACACCTCAGCAAAGCCCCTAAAAAAGGTAATACTTTGTCATTATTACCAAAGAGCACCTAAGTGGTTATTGCTCAGAATAAATAGGAAAAGACCTATCTAAATTCTTCTGAATGAAAAGTCAAATACTGGCAGTAACATAATGATTTATAACCTGTTGATGCTATTTTTCAGATTGTGTTATTGTTCCTTCCAGTCAAATTATCTCATATATTTCAAGAGACTATAAAGAGAAAAGGTGAAAATATTGAATGTATATGAAAGCCCTATAGAACTTTGATAAATACTGTAGTTATATTTCACATATTTCCCAAAAAGGTTATAAAAATAGGTATTTTGCTGATAGGAAACTATGCATTGCAGTGTGTTTAGGACGTACATAGGAATCGTATGTTGGCTTGTTCTTCTCGCACAGATTGGCATAGACGGCTGTGGGAAGGAGACCTGTGCCACTCTAGCCTGTTACCTGACAGAGTGCAGACTATACCGGGTGTCCACGTCCCACAATTATGCCTACATCGAATTCAAAGAAGACTTTAAAAGGGGCTTCATTCAGGCAGGATTGGAAGGGAACCCCACTGCTCTGATAGTTGCTAGTTTAAACCCAAAGCAGGTAAGTACTTTTTGTCTTTAGCATTTGCTAGCGTTTTCCATTAAGTAGTGTTCCCCCCACCCCCAATTTAATATTTGAAAAGACGGTATAGTCCTGCCGGCCTGCCCTGGTTTTCCCGCTATTCTGTCCTCCCCACTCCCAGCCGACAGCGTTTATATATTTGTCCTCATGCCGCTGAGAGTTCTGCAAAAGCATCTTCTGTCTTTACAATTTTCATTCTAATTGACAAATGAGAAGTAATTGGTCCATGTAGCTGAACTAGTTGTGGAGTCTATGTTTTGGAAAAAACACGGTCATCTGAATCTACCGTCTGTGCATGAGCTCTGCAGTGTGCCAGCCACACACTCAAGACTCCCGTTCCTCCCCTCGGTCCTCTCGCTCCAATGTCACTGTCACAGTTAGGACTCTCCTTGTAGTTATAGTTCATGTATTTCCCTAAAAGGTTTACACACGGGCACCTGGGTGGCTCAGTTGGTTAAGCGACTGCCTTCGGCTCAGGTCATGATCCTGGAGTCCCGGGATCGAGTCCCACATCGGGCTCCCTGCTCGGTGGGGAATCTGCTTCTCCCTCTGACCCTCTTCCCTCTCGTGCTCTCTATCTCTCATTCTCTCTCTCTCAAATAAATAAATAAAATCTTTAAAAAAAAATAAATAAAAGGTTTACACACAAGCAAAAAATGCTAATCACCCAACTACTGTTCTCACCTGTTATCTGGCATAAATTATGCACTTCCACAGCCTAAACGTCATGGGCCATCTCAGATTGTATTTACTTCTTTGTGGCAACATTTCCAGACACATGTAGTTATGAGTGTTGTTTCAAACTCACATCTTGTTTTCTCTCCTCATACTGGGCCTCTCTCCCCGGGGTTGTGGTTTTCTTGCACATTGCACTTCGAGAGTAAGTCCAGGTGCTGTGTTGTTATCTGCTGTTCTCCAGAGTGTCCAGTTTTCCACTTTAATTATATGTCCTCCCTTTCCCAAATCTAAATACCCTGCTCTGTTCATCAGCTTGAGGTTTCTGCCAGATACTTCTCTGGATTTCGGAAGATGTCACTTCTCCCATGCCGGAAGCCTGCTGTTCTAATTTAAGAAATCATTTTTTCAGAAATGCACTATCAGTTGGAGCTGGGCTGGACGTGCTCATCCACTCCCATGTCATTCAGGACTTCAAGGTCACTGGATCTCTTCTCCCCACTTTCCAGCTTTCTCCTGGCCACATCATTGCTTTCCATGTGAATCCAAAAAATGGTGTTATGACTCGTTAAATTAACATTTGTTAAATGGAGCACAGGGGGTTGGATGGGGATCCACCGTTCAACAGAAGACCATGAGAGAAATTGAAATCGAGAAGTTTCTTAGAGGTCCTGGAAGAAGTACACAGCATGCCTTGAGGGGCCGCCTGGGGAGATCAGGGCAGGGTCAGGCCGGGAGAGGCAGGATCCGGGGCCCGTGGGTGGCGTGACTTAGGCTCCCAGGCTAGGGCCAGATGGGTCCACTCACACCCGAAGAGTGGGGTTTTGGTTCAGCCCATGGGGGCGGTCTGTCTAAGGGGCATGTAAGGCCCACCGGCCGTGGGAGGTGGGACGGCTGCTGAGCGCAGGCTGTCAAGGAAGTCCTACCAGCAGTCAGCACCTGCTCGTCCCTCTGTGGGCGGCTTGCACCAAGGGCTGGTGTGAGTGTAGGGTCCCCGCAGGCTGCTTGGTAGAATGAAGCAGATGCCGAGGCAGCAGCACCCTGGGGTAGGTAAGCGAACCCCCTGACCAGGAGGAAATGATCAGTGTGTTTAAGAAGCTCCATCGGTTCTCCATCAGTCATGGGTGAGACAGGAGCTCAGCCAGCCCCTCAGCAGCTCTGTCGGCTCTCCCCCGGAGACGGTCCTCCTGCTCGCTTTCCTTCCCCACCTGAAACACCAGGAACCCGTGAGGGTCTCAGGAGTATCCTGAGGAGGTGATGTTGCTAAAGATGCTTTTTTTTTTTTAATAAAGCTTGGATTTTCTCTCAAAATTAAAATGCTCATACTTTTAATAAAAACTCTTTCACTGCTCTTTATCCTGGGTCTCAATTTGGCATGTTTAGAGTGGAAAACATAAATAACTTACTCCTTCCTGATGTGATATCTGTTTCATCTAAGGAGTTGTTTTTGGAGGATTTGAACAACATTCTCAATTTGAGGAATATACTTGACCTGTTTGAAAATGAGGAGCTGGATTCCATTGCACTAAGGATGAGATCTTTTGCTGAACAGTCTGGTTACATTGATAACAGGCAGTCTCTACTTGCATTCTTCCAAAAGGTACTCTTTTGTGGGTTGGCTTTATCAAATTACCATGTTAAATTAAAAGTAGACTACGTTTATAATTCTGTACCTGATTTTCAAGTTGGATAAGTTTTTTTTTTTAGTTCTTTAAATGAGTTTTTAAAGTTAAAACTAGTGACTAGATCCCCACACACAGACACCCCACACCCTTAGGGAAATCCAAGGTCAGCGAGGATCTGGGCCTGCCTGGCTATCAGTGTCTGAAGAACATGATAACAGCAAGAGACAATGACAAGAGAAATAAGATGCCAGGGTTATTTCTTACACCGACTTCCCTCCCTGACTACGGTTGGTAACAAGTCTGTAAAGGCAAAAGACCAGAATTCTTGCATCCCTTTGAATAGCCCTAGAATTGGCCAGGGGGTGATGGGCACAGACAGAAATAATCCAGACAGAGCAGGTGATATTCAGGAGGAAATCAGCAGTGGGGTCCGTCTGGAGACAGTCCAGACCAATGAGCTAAGCTTTCTGTGTCTTTAAGGCACAATGACCGGCCAACGGCTCAGCAGGGAGAGAGATAGGAGACAGGATCGCCCAAACCAGACCTTCAAAGGAGAGTACCGCAGGCCGACTTACTTCTCGGGCCAGTTCCTGTCGATGATGGAGTCATCTGAAAATTGACCTGGCCCACCATCCATCCTCAGTGGACACTTAGTGATCCAGCACGAGAAGATGTAAAAAATTCCACAAATGGAGTACACAATTGAGAGAGAACAATGTCACGTGAATGGATGCTTAGATGGGGTGATATTTTTAAGTGCAGTCATCCTGATACCTTGTGGCCCTCTCGTGCCTTGTTACTAAATTGGTTTATATAGATTGTGATTGGCAAGGAAGAACAAAGAATTTCTCACTGGAGAACAGTGCCCTCCAGAAATAAAAAAAATAAACCAAGAATCCCAGTTAGAAATCAGTTTTAATTATTTATATGTCTACTTTATACCACACTTGCAAAAATGATTTGAAGTGTCTTACAGTAATGAGTGAAGGAGTACTTGAAACCGTTAACATGGAATATCTTCAAGGAGGAGTTTGGGGATAGGTAAAGCAAAGAGAGGTAACTTCATTTTTAAGTTAAACATTTCTCTGTTGTATGAATTCTGCATTGAGCAGTTTGATTGGCTTTCATACATTTTTTAAAGATAAAAAGGAGGAAAAAGACTCTTACACTTTCCTCTTCTTTCAGCTTTACCACACTTCTTTGGCAAAATAGGTTGCTTGATACTCAAACATCTTATCACTTTGTACAAATTGAACTATTTGAGTTGGAAGGAACATTGACTCACTGAAGCTGCTTTCAGTTATGTGGTTTCATTGAACGTGACACATGGACATGAGGAGAGACTCTGCGCCCACACCAGTCCTTCCAAGGAGCCAGGAACAGTAGCTGCACAGCCCGGCTTCGTGGGGGGGAAGGAGGCAGGGAGATTTCACAGCAACCAGCCCTTTGCCGAAGACCTGCGAAAACATAGCGGCTCTAATACGGCGTAGCGCTAACCCTTCGGGGGTTTACTACTGCCCCCCATGCGCTCCGCCCACGACGACGGTCTGTTTCTCTCTGTGTCTTTCAGCTTTCATTCCTCCGACTGCTTCCCACACTGAGTTTCTGGGAATCTTAGTGGCACACCAACCCAGAGCAAAGAGTGAAATAGACACACCTCCATCTGATGTAAGGTCCCCTCCTGAACATAACTCGAGCGCCACACCCGCTCGTGTGACTTGGTTCATAGGGGGATGTTCCGGGTCACGTAGAGCAGAACCAGGCCTCTTTCCTTGAGACAGCTCCACGGGACTTGCGGTCTCCTTCGGAAGGTGCTCAGAGGGCACCTGATCACCTCTAGTAATTTTTAATGTAATATTTTTTCCAAAGTGGGGGATTCCATTTTAACAACTTATATCTTTATTAATTTTCAGAGGATCCATAAAAATCTTCATATTTTTATGACCATGAGTCCTGAAGGACCGACCTTCCGCCAGCATTGTAGAGCCTATCCCTCTATGATTACCACCTGCACAATCGACTGGTATGAGAAGTGGCCAGAAGAAGCTCTCCTTGCCGTAGCCAATTCTTTCTTAAGAGAAAATGTGGATTTAAAGAACAGAGAGGTAAATACAACCTCTTTTAAAAATCTGATCCAAGGGAAGATTTCAGGTTATTAACAGCATCTCGCAGAATTATGTCTCTGAATAGCAGTGAATCCTGGGTAGGCAAAAATAGGCAGCTCTGGGCAAAACTATGAAGTAGGTCAAGTGTTTGCCTTGACTCTTTATCAGTTCCCCAACTCTTTAGCTCCCTGACCCGTCCTATGTCACAGATGCCCAGATTCCTCACTGCCTGGGTCTCTGCACGGTCTCGCCCCGCGGTCGCGGTGAGCAGCAGGTGTCCCTGAAGGGGACCAACCTCCAGTCGGCACGCCAGGTGCCATGGTAAGGATGCTACAACCTTCTGGGTTGGCAACAGCGAACCACATGCGAAATGAGCCCAGAATTCATGAGTCACAGTAAGTACGAATCTTTTCGAGTGCAGCCCCACCGAAGACCCCAGAGCAACCCAGAAGTCAGCACAGCACCTGGAAAAGGGCTGCGACCTCACGTGGGAAGGGTCCAGGGAAAACGAAGGCCAAGGGTAGAGTCAGGAAGAAAATGCAGCTGGATTAAAGGGGACCAGGTGATTGGCTGCCTTGGTGGGCTGGAGGTGGGCACCAAGGCTAAGTCCTGCCTCCAAATTTTCTCCAAAATTAAGCGAGGGGCACTTTCTCCTCTAGTTTTCCCACCCACATATCACTATATCCTTTGACGATGTAAAGACATTTTTGCAGCTTTACTTCACTCAAGGAAGAGAGGTGGAGTCTCTTATAATTGATAACCTACTTTAGGAAAGGAAGATGGGAGATTTAAAAAAATAAAAAGGCACCACGAACCCGGGCCATTGGTGATGGCCCCTGAAATCCTTGGATGGCTGCAGCAGAAATGAGGGTAAAGTCTGGTAGCATGAGTCTGGCATGTCCTTAACCACCAGCCCTGTTGTTGCTTCATCCACCCTAACACCATCCAAACCACTAAGACTTCTCTATTCTTGGTCCCATTCACCCAGGACCTTTTCTACTTCCCCATATCTCAGAATGATAAACTATTTCACGTTATTTTCTCTTTCTTTATATATATTTATATTGCTTTCTCTTGATTCTTAAAAATTGTTATCTTGCAGAACTTAAAAGAAAAACTTGCCCCAGTGTGTGTCCAAATCCACAAAAGTATAAAAGACTTGAACACAAAATACTTCCAGGAAACCAGAAGGCATTATTACATCACTCCCAGTAGCTACTTGCGGTTCATGGATACGTTTGCTCACATTTTGAGGTCACGAGAGAAGGAAATGCAAACAAAGAGGTAAGAGTTTGAGACCAAATCAGAAATATATATATTTTTTTAATCGTTGCTTTTATTTGTAAAAAGAAACACGAACACAAAAGAAGGAGCCCAAATCTGCCTTTCCAGTGAGGGGAAAGGGCAACAGTGGCACAAGCCCTTCAAAGAGGTGAGGCATTTTAAGGCTGCCGGTCAGTGGAGACCAGGCGCACACACGCAGCCAGGGAGGGAGTGTCGAACCATCATTAGATCACATTGTGAAAACAAGAGCAGCTGCAGGTGCCACCAGTCATGGCCTTTATCCCAGGGACGACACCAACATACCGGGAGCCCGATGTCTGCGTCATAGACAGCGGGACGCCCCAGTGCTGCGGACCCCGTGTCCAGGTGCCGCCGGGAAGGTGGGCGAGAAAACACGGGGCAGCCCCTCTCAGACCTGATCAGAGCCCCGGCAACACTGGAAACCGTGTCCTAACAGCCTCCTGGGAGGACAGGGACGTGAGCGGAACCGGCCTCGTAGCACCTGCCCACGAGCATCCCGCGCTCTCTGCTCCAGGAGGCCACGGGGTTCTGAGGAGACCACGAGCAGTCGCAGTGAGGCCTGCATGACCCGCATTGGGGCGTGGGGGCTGCCAGGACCCCCCGGCCGGAGCTGCTGCCCTATGGCGACATCCTCCAGCCTGGCCTGCGTCCCGCTACAGGAAGAGGGGCCACCCGATGAGACACCCTAATTAACCGTACTGCTAGGGGCTTGAAGCAAGTCCATTCTGTGTCTTCAGCGACCCTGGAGGATGGTGCCCGTGACTGACTCCCGCCTGGATGATCGGCCCCAGCCAGGCTCCCCATGTGGAGCCAGGCCAGTTAGGAATGGTGTTAATCCGGGTGCGCCCAGAGGCGTTGGCGGCCACACATAACTCAGCCTCAGACGTGCCGCGGAAAGCCCAGGACAATGGAAGTGTCTCCTCACCTCTCGTGCTAGAGACGTTAGTTTGCATCCGGCAGACCAGCGGAGGCCAGAAGCAGTAGTGGCCTCAGCAGTGGCCTGATGCAGACACAGCTCAGGGGCTCATTTTCTCAAGTTTTTGTTAACGAGGCCAGGTGGGGCATGGCAGATTTGACGTCCGCCCCATTTAGAGCCGTTGCTGGAGTCCGTGAATGCGGTGAGGGTTCAAGGAATCCTGTTAGTTTAAAAGGTGAACCTTGTTCTATTAAGTAAAGACTCTTCAGTCCTGGAGGTAGGGGCTCCTGGGTGGTTTCTCCAAGTCCTTGGGTTGAGCTTTTGTTGGTCGGTGGTTAAACTGACGGTGATGACAGCAGTCTGGATAAATCGGCCCAGTGCCCCTCACACAGGAGTCAAGAGATGAGGGGATCCTTCCAAGTTTCCAAGGTGTCCCGTTCCCACCATGGGGGACAGGGAGGTTGCCCTCTATCTGCAGCCACAAGACGGCAATCGGTGTGACCAGTCCCTGTCACCGCTGCATCCTCTCTTCCCCGGCTTGCCCGTGCCTCATGCACGCCATCAGCCCAGACACCTCTCTGGGTGGCTCGGTGGTTTCTATGCCTTGTGCTACCCACCCCGATGTGTGGGTCAGACCAGGATGTCCCCTTATACACATGGTCACTACCATCGCTCTCCATAACTGCTCACATTGGTCACGTGAGAAGGTGAGCTGTCCCCACTCCCCAGCTCCTCTTCGCTGCTCGCCAATTCCTGCAGCCCCATTTTCCAGGGGGGAGACATGGGAGAAGAAAAAGTGGGGAGGGTTCATTGTGTGGTCTGGGTCCCTTACAGCCAATCCACGTCTCTCCCCAACCCCAGAACTCAAAACATTCCATTTATAGGGGAGGTAAGTCCCGAACTGCCTTCCTTACGTATGTGCTCCCCTGGGAGCTCAGCTTCAGTAGCCCCACTTTCTTCTCAGTGTTTCTAAGAGTTCATTTTATTGTTAATAGCACCTGCTTCTTGGGGGTCGGCAGTGGCCAGGTGAGTAATATGTGTATTTTAGGAAGATCCCTCTGGTATTAGAATGGGGGATAAATTGGAGAGATAGAAAACTCAAAACAGAGATTTGAAAGCTATTGTAGGAATCTGGATGAGACGTTCTGAGGACCTGAGGGTTAGATCAAAGTGGGAAATGCCCGACAACATCTGTGTCATTGACCTTGTGCAGGGCATGGTTGACGACATCCTTTTAGGTTAGGAAAGCCAAGAAGTCGAAACAGATTCTTCCACAGGCTTTTTCCTCCTCCTGCTAGAGTCGGGACTAAAATTTTGTTGACTGACAGATCTGTAGTCCGCTGATTTTACAGTAGTTGTGCGTATTTACTTCATTCCTTACAAACTGTATGTTTTCCATTTTTTATCCCAGTGAATATGTAAATGGAAAATTTTCAACTTATTGCTTCTTTTTAAAAAAAAAATCTTTTCACTTTGAAATAGATTCACTGGAAGTTGGAAAATAGTAGAGAGAGGTCCAGCTTACAGCTTCCGCTCAGTTCCCCCGTTGTTACATTATCCGCAACCGCGACACTGGCATTGGAGCATGTGTGTACATGGCCCCGTGCCCCGTGCCCTGTGTGCGGATTTGTGGAGCTGCCCACTGCAGTGGACGTGCGGGACTGGTCCACGGCCACAGTGCGTCCCGTGGGCCGCCCGCCTCCACACCCGACCGCCCCCAGCGGCTCCAGCCACCATCTGGTCTGTCTCCCCCTTACACGGGAACCAGACTGGCTTCAAGCAGCGTAATGCCTCGGAATTCCATCGAGCTGTGGCCCATTACTGATCGTTTGATCCTTTCTGTAAGCACCGCGCGGTATGGACGTGCCACAGTTTGTGCAACCCCTCATCCGCGGGAGGAGCTGGGGCTGCATTCGGGGTAGAGTGGTTCTGAACGGAGCTACTAGGAACATGTCTAGGAGAAATGCCAGGAGTGTGATCGTTGAGTCATATGGTAAGTGTATGCCAGCTTGTAGAGAAAATACCAGTGCTCCACAGTGGCCAGGTCTGAGGAATCCAGCTTCCATGCGTCCTTGCAAACATGTGGCACTGTGCTCGCCCAGGACGTCGCACGTGTGTCCACGGGCCACTCTGCACCTGGATGTCTTTTTGGTTTAACGTCTCTGTAGCGTTGGCACATTTTCTAAATGGATTCTTCAGTTTTTCTCTTTGCCGAGTTTTGAGAGCTGTCTGTTCCAAAGAGGAGTCCTCTGTCCAATATACGGATTGCAGATATTTTAGCCCAGCAGTTACTTGTCATCATCCTCTGGACAGAATGTTTCTGTTTTAATTTTGGTGAAGTCCAGTTTGTCAAATTTGTTTTTCTTTCTCAGATATGCTTCTCTTGTCAAGTCTATGAACGTGGCCCTGGATCCTGGAGACTTTCTCCTATGCATTCTTCTAAGAGCAGCATAGTCCCATCTTTTACCCTTCATTCCACAGCCCACCTTGACTTAGTTTTGTGTAAGGCGTGAGGCTTACGTCCAGGTTCGTGTTATATAACCAGTCGCTGCACACCCTTTGTTGAAAACGTTTCCTTCCTCTATCACTTTTGCACCTTTGTGAAAAGCTAGTTGACTGTGCTTGTGTGGGTTTGTTTCCGGCTTCTCTGTCCTGTTCTTTTGATTGACGTGCCTGGCCCTCTGCTAAGACCCTAGTCCTGACGACTGTCACTACCTAATCAGTCTCACAGTCAGGTAGAGAGGTCCCACCCACTCTATTCTTTTGCAAAATTGTTTTACTCAGCCTTTCTATATAAATTTTAGAAGAAGCTTGTCTGTATCTACCAAAAAAAAAATCATACTGCAATTTTGGGGCATCCCATTAAACTGCATATCATTTTGGCAGAGAATTGACATCTTTACCATGTTGTCTTCCAATACAAGATCACAGTATATCTTGCTTTGCCGATATTTCACTACATCTTATGCCTTCTTAATACTTTTCCCCTCCTCAGGAATCATTTTTATATGGGTCTATCCAAGATCCTGGAAGCAACCACTCTTGTCACAGATATGCAGGAGGAGCTCTTGATTCTTGGCCCGCAGATAGAACAAAAAACAAAGGTATATCTGGTTTGAAATCTCATTTAAATATTTTATGGTGTAGTATAGAGCAGAGGCTCTGACACTTGGCAAACATGAATTAGGATTCCAGCTTTGTTAGCAGGCAGTGGGTAGCCCTGTTGGCCTCAACTTTCTTATCTGTAAAATGGGCAAGACAATGACAACGACAGCAAAACAGTGACAGCATCACAGTGTAAGCACTCAATGTGACAGCAGGCCCACGACTACTTGTGAAAGCTCACCTAGCATAATTCTGTCGTTGTTAGTTACATCAGCCCGATGTAGCTCGTGCGGTAGCTTGCAGTCTGCAACATGTTCTAAAACCCGACGTCTGTCACAGGACATGATATTGGCTGTATTCATCTTTTCCAGTTTAGTCTGTTCAACAGATACATTTCAGGATGATTTTGGTAAATTTTATAATAATGAAATGAGCTTTATGAATTTTTCTTGAAACACATTTCTCTTTAAAGAAGAGATAGCATGTCTCTTAAAATTCATTCTCAAAAGAACCGTGTGTCTCATTAGGAAAAGGAAGCCCTAATGGAAAAACTGCAGAAAGATTCACAAGTGGTGGAGAAGGTCCAGATGCTCGTTAAACAGGATGAAGAAATTATGGCCGAAGAAGAAAGAATAGTGGAAGAGTATGCTCAGGTAAATAACCGATCACAATTATTTGGAGATTTGCAAAATGATTCCCCACTTCTTCGTGTGAGAATTATTTGTAGTATCATTTCCTGTGGAATGTTCAGCCTAGTTGATAAAAATGTGGTTTTCATTTTTGATAGTCGAGGACAGTTTCTTTCAACTTCGTAACTCATCACTGATAAAGTCATGAATATTTTTAATGTTGCTATCAATTGGTATAAACAAAACTGGCATTTCAGGATTTCTTGGGCAGTGAATACTTTTAGATGTGTGTGAATTGAGAGCATTCACTAACCGGTTTTCGACCAATGTCTTCCTTATAGAGTTGTTTTCTGATATTTATATTTTCATTAATGTCAATAGTTCTTGCAAATTCAGCCAGAACCTTGACTTTTTCCAGTGTGATTGTATGATGACTTCTTCTTTGTGAATTGGATTATTAAACAGAAAAGAGCCAGATCATTACCTCTACCCTAAATGTATTTTTTTCCTCTTAATAAATTATTGCTTTTGGTATAATCTGAACATTTTCATCACATTTTGCTCCTCTAACAAAATAATCTGTATTGATTTTAACACTTAATCACTTTTGTTTTATAGTCCACAAAGTTTTGTCTTAATTATTTGTAAATAAGATTTTAAAATTATAAAATAAGGCACCTTTCACACATCTCTATGTAAGGAACCTCTAATTTCTCACTTATTTCACTGAGATATTCCAAAACATCTTTTTAAATGCAGTAGCTGTTACCCCAAAACTTAGGAATTCTGCTGGCTCGTTTTTGTGTAAATCCCACCCAAAAAAAACAGACACTGTCTGGTACGTTTAGAATAGTGTGCGCTGCAATATCTGGTGTGATCATGAAGGAGTGAACTTCCATTTGGGGTAGGTATCAATGAGAACCTGACCCTACACTTACAGTCTCAAACATCTGATTCATGCAAGCACTTTCCACAGACCAGACTCTGGATCAGTGTATTGCAAACCTTGTTTCTCCTCCATTACCCATGTAGCTCTGGTGCTAGGCCCTGTGGCATAAATTATTACAATATGTCCCCTGGCCAAGCACCTTAATGCCACCTGCCCAGGAAAGCCGGAACAGAGGACAGCAAAAGTATTTCTACAAGGCATTCCTAATTGATATAGCTTACAATAACTTAATTATACAGACAGGTGACTCTGTGCAGACCCCAAACATGTCCCTGGCCATTCCAGTGACACCTGACCCGAGAGGAAACCTGATTGCAGTTACAGTGTCTAACTTTTACAAGCCTAGCAAAGACACATGGCCCTGCCAACATTGGCGGAGCTCCTTCCAGGGCCCAGGGGTGGGCCTGGGCCACTGAGGGGCTCTGAAGTTTAGGCTTCATTAGCTGAGCAGTGACCCCCTGTCCCGGGACCATCCCTCAAAAGGCCATTGTTACTGTCCACCGAGTCTGATGGAGAAGGCCGGAACCACACACAGCTTCTCCTCAGGGATGGAATAAAGCACCGCCCTTAGGACTCCAGCACACATGCCCAGCAGTGTAAGTAGCACGTGTCCTAAAAAGGTCAAATCTACTTTCCAAGTTCAAAATATGAAAATGTGGGCGCCTGGGTGGCTCAGTCGTTAAGCATCTGCCTTCGGCTCAGGTCATGGTCCCAGGGTCCTCGGATCGAGCCCCGCGTCGGGCTCCCTGCTCAGCAGGAAGCCTGCTTCTCCCTCTCCCTCTACTGTTCCCCCTGCTTGTGCTCTCTCACTCTCTCTGTCAAATAAATAAATAAAATCTTTTATATATATATATATATATGTACAGTGTGCAACCTTGTGCATTCATACACGTTTGGGGGCCCCTAACTTTGTTGCAGGAAACTGCCCATGAAGTAAAAAGCGTGCTGCCGGCTCTAGAAAAGGCAGTCGTGGCTCTGAGCGCCCTGGATAAAGCGGACGTCGCTGAGCTGAGGTAGGTCACCTGAGTTCGTCTGGAGCTGGCGAAGCTCAAAATAAAACACAAACACGCGGCAAGAGTGACTAAGTATTCAGTTACTTTTAGACTGAGTCATTCTTAGCCATCTTGGTGACTTTAAATTTGTCATTATGCGTGTTACATACTGTGTGTCCTCCACGTTGTTGGAACCATCAGCCGTACAGCATGTCAGTATCTTATGTCACCTCGAGAAAGGAAAGCTCCTGCCAACCGAACCGCATGCCACACAAGAAGAAATGAGATGCTCCAAGGTCCAGAGCCTGATCCCGATGTTTCTAGTTTGAATCTCTGGGTGAAATGCTCTCAACTGGCATTTATGGCCCAACAGACAAGAAGACTTTGCTGTCACCTCTCAGATGTGTTGAGTTGTCCATTATTTACCGGAAGTAGTATTTCCTATTAAAGATGCAGAAGTAGGCCAATCTACCATGGTATTTGTCACACGTGCTTAACTCTGGGGACAAGAAGAGAAGAGGACGAACAAGCTGTCTTTAATCAGTGTGACTATCCGGGGAGCGCCACGGTGCCGAAGCCGCTCCTTCAACTACATGAAGGGCAGACGCAGGGAGAGAGAGACAAGCAAGAGGAACAGAGCAGATTCTCGACCTCTCTCTCCTGTTTGACCTCATTCACCGGAATGCGTTCTCACACATTCGTGCAGCAGAGAAGCTGAGTGCGCTGCACCCTGGGCCCCAGTCTGGCCGCGGAAGTGGGAGGGTTACCAGTTGCCGGTGGCGTGGAAGCAGAGAACTGAGCGGATTTGCACGCACACCAGGAAGGTGTCTCAAGGAAGGGTGTTGTAAGCAGGAGACATGGGAAGCACAAAAGTCTGAAGGCAGAAGTGTGCTTTGTGGGCCTGGGGAACTTCCCACACCAGGGGGGATGCGGCCCGTGAGCACGAGGGGGTGGCCGGGGTCCCCACAGGCAAAATGGCAGTGTCCATGCCGCCTCAGCATCACCCACCCTGTGCCTCGTGCCTTCATTCCAGAAGTTCCGTTCTCTCAGTTTTTCTCTGGCAGATATTCCCGAGGGAGGGGTCAGGGCAAATGCCTGTGAGCCTGATTTCTGAGGGCAGTGTGTGACCTGAGTGAGCTCACAGGCTCTGCTCCAAGCTTCCCAGGCCGGAACCCAGGCATTGCCTCTCTGTGTCTCAGCTTCCCTTTTATGCAACGGGGATAACAGGTGATCGATCAGAGGACTGGATGAGTTAAAACATGTCAAGTGCTTGGAACAGAGTCTGGCAAGGGCTCAAGTTATTTCAATGCAAAGAGGTTTCCTTGGATCAAGCAGGCCCACTCCCCTTCCCTGGCTAAAAAAACCTAGCCTTTCCAGGGATTCCCTCCATATGCCTTGGGGGTTTTTTGTTTGTTTTTTAGGATTCTCCCTTGCGATATTGCTGATGTGCATTTCACTTTGATTCCACCGCCAGAGAAATGGGACACCTGACGATAGGAATTGTTAGGATGTGTGGCAGAGACATCCAGCAGTTACCCAGTCCAGCCCGTTCTCTTTCCTAGCTGCTATTTCCAGCGGCAAAGTGCAAAGGATTGCCCCATCACAGGATTAGCAGCATTAGCTGCTAGAAGAAGGAGGGAGACTGTAGAAAATACAGATTGGAGCAAACCAATAAATGTCTAAACCAGAGGACTCCTGTGTAGTAACGAGGCCTTTAAAGCAGATTTCCAGGGTAGGTAGGTCTTGCTTTGAATCAGGTATTTGTTTCTGGAAAGTGACATGTAGGTGGGACTATAGTCAATTGAATCTATTTTCCCTTTAATTTAATTAAAAATTTATAGATAAGATACTTTATCTTAATTTGACTATATTCCCATTATGTTTGCTTTAGAAAGAGTCAAATGTAGGCAAAATGGAAGAAAAGCTTGTTTCTGGAGCTCTCCTTTCTCCCCTGTGGACCTTATCTCTCTTTTCCTAGTTCCTCTGTTACAACGTTCCCTCCTTATTTCATATGGTTTCAAAAACCATACTGATAATTTCAGAAAAGCCATCTGATAAATTAGTTCTAAACAAAGTGTTAATGATTTGATTATTTGGTCCTGAAAAATATCTGCATTTTAAAAAGTAGACTGTAAAAGAGAACAAAGATTAACCTAAATGAATGAATCTCTAATGGTGAAATTAAGGCAGGGGGACCTTCTTGGTAACCCCTGTAGATAGTGTTGTGCACGTAAAGTTGGCTCCATTGCCTGCCTTCTTTTGGGAAGTCTGTATGGTTTCTTTTGGGGGAGACTCATTACCATGGATGGACCCATCCCTTTTGTTCCCAAGTCCCAAATCCTGTGGCATAGCAACCACCACCCTTATGGCCTTTCACCGAAACTTAACTTCTTGTGACTGTTCTTCTGACCCCCTGGCTTTCCAGAGTTTGACCTTCTCATTAGCAGTGCAATGGTATGTCAGCTGATGAGGACACACAGAAGAAGCAGCTTCCAGTGTTCCGATGATCACACCCGAGGGACCCGTCCCCGCCCGCCCGCCCTCCCGCACTCTGCTGTATCCGTGGTTTTACATAGGAGTTTTAGGTCAGGGAGGAGAAAAGTCAGAGGACGTGTTTAAGGGGAGTGGCACAGCTGTGTCTGTCAAGTAGTCATTAGCACCTCCGCACTGGGATAAAACATGAGGGTTCCTGCTTTAAAGAACTCTGCAGTGAGTACTTCTATAATGAAAAGAATTAACCTCTAACTTAGCTGTTGTTCATATTTAAGTTTCATGCATGTCCTCTTCCTAAAGCAGAGATACCCATATATAAAACATACCCGGATGTTTAAAAATACCCCAAACTGCCATAGCTAAGTAGTTATCCTCACGAAAATGCCTGTTCAACATCTGTGTATATTGTCCTCCAAGACGGTTTTCAGGTGCATTTGACACCAGCTATGAGGCTGATGAGGTTCCCACCTCTATTGCAGAGTGTACGCGCAGCCTCCCCTCCTCGTGCTGACCGTCATGAATGCAGTCTGCATCCTTCTGCAGAAGAAACCTAACTGGGCTTCAGCGAAGTTGCTTCTTTCAGAAACTGGTTTCCTGAAAAAACTGGTTAACCTTGACAAGGACAGCATCCCCGAGAAGGTAAAAAGTCGACTCCTAATTAATGCATAACTGATACATTCCATGCTCATAGCCTACAGGAGTCCAACAGAAGTGTTAAAATTGGCATTGTGCATTAGAATGGAAAGTCAGTGGTGCAAGTTAAAAGATGAGAGAGTAAGCTTCACAACCAGACGTAGCAGGTTTGTTAGGAGTGCCAAGGAAAGCAGTGTGTCACCCACATCGGGGAAGGCCCTGTCTCAGAATCCCTTTAATGAGAGAAGAGGCCAACAGAGAGGTGCACTTCATTACACTAAGAAACCGCAAGGAGTGGATAAAAGTGTTTGAGATGTCTCAAAATTCAGATATAATTGGTATATAACATTAATTTCAGGCGTACAATATAATGACTTGGTATTTGTATATATTGTAAAATGATCGCCATCGTAAGCCTAGTTATCATCCGTCCCTACACATAGTTACAAATGTTTTTTCTTATGATGATAACTTTTAGGATCTACTCCATAACAACCTTCAAATACACAATGTGATATTTCTAACTATAGTCATCATGCTGTACCTTTCATCTACAGGACTTATTTATCTTATAAGTGGAAGTTTGAACCTTTTGACCCCCTTCACCATCCCTAACCCTCCCATCTCTGACAACCACCAGTCTGTTCTCTGTATCTATGAGTTCAGGTTTTTGTTTTAGATTCCACAGATAAGTGGTGTCATCTTTCTCTGTCTGACTTATTTCACTTAGCGTAATGGCCTCAAGGCCCATCCATTTTGTCACAACTGGAAGGATTTCCTTCTTTTTTATGGCTGAGTAATGTTGCATTGTGTGTGTGTGTGTGTGTGTGTGTATTTTTCTTTATCCACTCATCCAGTAGTTCCATTTTTAATTTAACTGAGGAGCCTCCATACTTTCTTACATGATGGCTGCACCAATATATAATCCCACCAACAGTGCACAAGGGTTCCTTTTTCTCTACCTCCTCGCCAACACCTGTTGTCTCTTGTCTTTCTGATCCTAGCCATTCTGACAGCTGCAAGGTGATATCTCACTGTGGTTTTGACTTGCATTTCCCTGATGATGAGTAACATTGAGCCCGTTTTCATGCTCCTGTTGGCCATCTCAACGTCTTCTTTGGAAAAATGTCTGTTCAGATCTCCTGCCCATTTTTTAATCAGATTGGGTTTTGGGGGGTTATTTTGTTTTGTTTTTGTTTGTTTGGGGTGTGTTTTGCTTGTTTGTTTTGCTATTGAGTGATAGGAGTTCTTTATATATGTTAGATATTAATCCCATCATACACATGGTTTGCAAATATTTTTTCTCATTCTGTAGGTTGCCTTTTCATTTTGCTGATAGTTCCTTTACTGTGTAGAAGCTTTTTAGTTTGATGTCCTATTTATTTATTTTTGCTTTTGTTTCCTTTCCTTTTGGTGTCAAATCCAAAATCATTGCCAAAATCAATGTCAAGGAGCTCACCACCTGTGTTTTCTTCTAGGAGTTTTATGGCTTCAGGTCTACATCCAAGTCTTTAATCCATTTTGAGTTATTTCTGTGTGTGATGTGAGATGGGGTCCAGCTTCATTCTTTTGCGTGTGACTGTCAAGTTTTCCCAATACCATTTAGTGTAGAGATTGTCCTTTCGTCATTGTATATTTTTTTAAGATTTTATTTATTTATTTGGCTGAGAGAGATATAGCAAGAGAGGGAACACAAGCAGGGGGAGTGGGAGAGGGAGAAGCAGGCTTCCCGCCAAGCAGAGAGCCCGATGTGGGGCTCAATCCCCGGACCCTGGGATCATGACCTGAGCCAAAGGCAGATGCTTAATGACTGAGCCACTTGGGCGCCCTCATCATTATATATTCTTATTTATTTTTATTTTTGGGGGGTAGGGGAGGGGCAGAAGGAGAGGGAGAATCTCAAGCAGTCCATGCCCACCATGGACTGGGAACTTGGGGGACCCAAATCTCAATTGCTGTTGTTTTCAGTCACCCAGTTTGTGGTAGTTTGTCACAATGCTCACAGAAAATGAATAGAGATTTGGGTCCCAGGCAGTGGTTGCTGCAGTAACAAATACCCAGAAATGTGAAAATGGCTTTGGAACTGGGTAATGTGTAGAGGCTAGAGGAATATCCAAACCGGGGTGTTAGGCAGGAGCTGGGCTGAGAGCTCTGTGCAGGGGCAGCAGGTAGATTTGTAGATGCATACGTGGCACTGTCCTTGATTCATTCAGTAACCTTCCAAGGGATATCATGAGACATGACGATAGCTTACAAGATCAACTCATTCTTTGGTGTTATGAAGTTGACATTGTAATAGGGAAGTCAGACATCAAACAGCTAATAAGACAATTAATTACAATGATGATCTGTGCTATTAGGAAATACAGGGTAATATATGAACAAAGTGGCTTTTCTAGCAGAATGTTAATGGTGACATCCGTATTAATCCTGAATTAATGTAACAACTACTCACTCTCTGAAGCATTCCTAGCAAAAATGATTCCCTATGGTTTTGTTTAAATAGATCTTTCAAGCTAAAATAATAGCTCATCTAAAGAAACTATTAAAAGCATAACAGTATTTTAAGTAGTAATGAAAACACCAATAATAAGTTGATAATGGACCACCTGCCATCTAAATTATTCAGCAAAATGGTTCTGTCCTACCAGGCAAGAGAGCAAATGCCTGGTTGGAAAGGAAGAGAAAAGGACTCTCAGTCTGAGAAAGATGTTATTTTGATTATGGCTCCCCAAAGTAGATGAGAAATAGTATATATACAACTGGAAACAAGGTTGTATATGTAGATGAGGTGGATGTCTGGGCCTGTGGCACAAGTAAGCCAGAGTGTCCTCAGGGACCCCTGCATGCCCAGGCCTCCCCGCCTCTGCCACTGATGGCACAGCCCTTTGACTAGGGGCTGCCCTGCTGATATGCCCCTTGGGGATAGAATGTGGGGAATGGTGTCCGTCTGTTCACACCTCAGGTGCACAAGAGGGAGACGGCAGACCACCTTGCCCACCAAGTCCACACCTTTGTTTTACAATGGAGGCCCTTTGGTGAAATTCCAGCAGCCACTGGGCCAAGAATGGCGGTAACAAGATGGCTCCCCTCCTCTGCCGCCAGAGACGCTGTGTTCCCAGCTGTGGCTCTGCGTCTACGCCTGAAGGGTAGCACAGTATTTCTCATAGGAAATACAAGTTTATTTTAATGTGCACTGGGGAAAACTTTGGGTCAGTAACATTTCGTTTTCTTGTAATACACGAATTGTGTTATCTCTAGGTTTTCACGAAGCTGAAAAAAATTTTAATCTTACCTGATTTCAACCCAAACAAGATTGCTCTCGTTTCTGTTGCCTGTTGCTCTATGTGCCAGTGGGTCATAGCTTTGAATAACTACCATGAAGTACAGAAGGTACGCTCTGACCCCCGAGTGTTGGTAACAGCCCAGAAGTCACACGAGAGCCCCAGAGATAATGTGCACTTCACAAGGCGTAGGTGAACTGCTGAAAAGAATTCTCCTAGTGAAAACCACTTTAATCAAAGATACTATGCTAACAGATATCAATTTTATTTATTTTATTTTTATTATTATCTTTTTATTTTATAAATAAATACTTATATTTTTTATGATCTTATTTTATTTATGGTAACTATGCTCTTGTTTTATTTGCTGGTTTTCATGTTTCACCATATTAAACTAGTGGATATCCCTCTTTTTTTTAAAGATTTTATTTATTTATTTGATAGAGAGAGACACAGTGAGAGAGGGAACACAAGCAGGGGGAGTGGGAGAGGGAGAAGCAGGCTTCCAGCAGGGAGCCCGATGCGGGGCTCAATCCCAGGACCTTGGGAACGCGACCTGAGCCGAAGGCAGACGCCCAACGCCTGAGCCACCCAGGCGCCCCTTCCCTTGTCTTTTTACCGTAAGGTCTTGTTTTATTTGAGACTCTTTTATTTACAAATAACTGAAACCAATTGGAACCAGTTTAACCAAAGCAAAAAAACTAATGATGTGTGTACTATATGTTGGCTAATTGAACATAATAAAAAAAAAGATAATCACTATCTTCTAAAATCCTATGTTAATGTTACCTGCTTTTAAACTTCGTTTAAATAGAATTATACCATAGCTATCCTTTTTTTTTTTTAATTTTTTTTTTTTTAAAGATTTTATTTATTTGACAGAGAGAGACACAGCAAGAGAGGGAACACAAGCAGGGGGAGTGGGAGAGGGAGAAGCAGGCTTCCCACCGAGCAGGGAGCCCGATGCGGGGCTTGATCCCATGACCCTGGGACCATGACGTGAGCTGAAGGCAGACGCTTAACGACTGAGCCACCCAGGCACCCCTGGATATCCTTCTTGTACACGTAATTCTAGGACAGCCAATTGTAAGAATTGACACTTAACAAATGTCTTTCAAACATAAGGGACATTTTTAATAGTGAACTTGACATTTTTTAACACTTAAATGTTGTGGCATTCTTTTTTAGGTGGTGGGCCCTAAGCAAATCCGAGTAGCTGAAGCTCAAAATGTCCTCAGAATTGCACGACAAAGGTTGGCCGAGAAACGAAGAGGTTTGCAGCTGGTAAGACATTTGTTTGCTTGTTAAGCTTGCAACAGCTTTGTGTGAAGTAGTCAGAAACACCAAGAAAAGGTCATTACCTCAGTAGAGTTTTATCAGTTTAGGATAAAATGAGGATAATAATAAAGGTAGTGAAGAGATTGTGATTGAGTAAATAATACAGGGACTATATGTAAAGGCGACTTCCACATAATAAAACACTCAATAATGCTAATTATTACCGTGTCATTAATATATTAATTTACCATTTCACCAGATTTCTCCCAGGAGAGCTTTGTGACTTCTGTCTACCAAAGGCTTACCCAATATCAATCTGTGATCTTAAAAAACTGTCCTTAACCTGTTTGTATCAATTACTCTGTTGTTTGGTGAAGACATGGTTATTTCTTAAACTTCTTGGTATGAAGTTAAAACAGGGATATCATTATGAGAGCGAGGTTGCCAGCCCACGCACAGGCATTCTGAGAGGGGGTGACCCAGCAGGGAAATGCAGCCCAGCGTCTTGGTGTCTTGTGTTTGCCTGGATGGTCTCTCTCCCTACCCCCGCCCCCATTCTGATGTAGCTATCCACATTGTAAAATGTGGGGATTTCACTTAAGATTTGAATTTCGGTCTTCACTTGAAAATTCAGAAGATCTGGCAGCCATGGGCTGGCACTCTCACTTGGCTATAATAAGCCCCCAACTCACTTCAAACATTTATGTCACCTGTCTGCCCCCTAGGTGTTTCTTGCAAACTCAGTTATATAAAGAGTATTAGACATTTTTGGAGAAAATTAACAAATTTTTACTGAATGTATTTTATATTGATATATCATTTTATTGCTAATTCTTTGTTGCCACTTACGATGTACATATACAGTCATATTTAGAGATGTGTTGCTAATAGCTAACATTTATGGAGCGTATACTGTGTTCCAAGTGCCTTTATACAGTTCCAAGAAAGCTTTATACAGTCTTTCGAAGTCTATCCTCAAGTCAGCTTTCAGAAGGAGATGTTTCCACGGGAGAAAACTAAAATCAAAGATTCAGTAAATTTGCCCAACACCTTGAACCTCTAAGTGGTGCCCACGCTCTAACCCAGGCCTGTCTAACTCAAAATCACTTACCCGCTCCACTAAAAACACTCCTCTGCATGAGTGATACGCAAACCATCCAGCAGCTGGTGTGGCCCAGATGCCAACCAGTCATAGAGCAGTGTGGGGTCCTGGAGGCCACCCACGAAGACGGAATAGTGGGGAGAGGGCTGGGGCAGGCAGTGGCAGGGCTGGGGGCGCTCTCCAGGGCATGGCACAGGACCACGTAGCAACCACTGCAGAAATAGTTTGGTGTTTTAGCAACTGGCATGGCTCCATCAGCCTATTTCTGTCCCACACACAAGTTAATGAAAGGAGCAGACCCAGGAAGGGAAAAAGTTTGCTTCATAATTTAAAGAAAAAAATTACACATTATACAACTTGGTAAACAGGGAGTTTGAGAAGAAATACAGTTGACCTTTGAACAACATGGGCTAGAACAGCAAGGTCTGCTTCTACCTGGATTGTTTTCAGTAAATACAGCATACCACTGTAAATGTATTTTCTCTGCCTTATGATTTTCTTAATGACATTTTCTTGTTTCTACCTTACTTTATTATAAGAATATAGTATACATGCAACATACAAAATATGCTTTGTGTTATCAGTAATACTCAAAATAGTAGGCTATTAGTAAATAAGTTTTGGGGAGTCAAAAGTTATATGTGGATTTTCAGCTGCATGGGGGGTTGGCACCCCTAACCCCTGTGTTGTTCAAGGCTCACCTGTAATTTTTAATTTAATGGAAATGTGCATTTGTCGTTTTTCAGTAATTATTAGAAATTCTATGGAAATAAATTTGAAAACCTGAATGATGTGCCTGGTTTTCAGGAAATTCTTAGTCACTAAAAGTCAATAAAGCCTAAACTCAAAAGCCTAAACAAGCAAAAATCAGAGCTTTCAAAGGTCTGAGGTGGAACAACCAGAGAGCAGATAAGCAAAGAGAGGAATGAAGAGCACAGAGAACCAATGAAACCTACAGACTACGGAACAGTCCGCCCAACAGCAGAACACACAGGAAGGGTCTTCACGGATGCTTAAAGGCAGGTGTCCTGTAAAGTATTTTCTCTGACCACATGGAATGAAGTTCGAAACCAAAAACAGAGGAGAACTGGAAAATTCACAAATACATGAAGATCAAACAATAAACTCCAAAGCAATCAATGGGTCAAAGAAGAAACCATAAGGTAAGGTCGAAACTACTTAGAGACAAATGGAAACAGAGCACAATGTGTCAAAACTTATGGCCTGTAGCCAAAGCAGTGCTCAGAGGGACATTCATATCTATAAATTGCTACATTAAAAAGAAGAAAGATCTCAAATCAACAACCTCACTTTATACTTTTAAGGAACTAGAAAAAGAACAAACTAAACCCTAAACAAACTAAATATAGCTGATGGAAAGAAATAATAAATATTAGAGCAGAGGTAAACAAAATAAAGAATCAAAAGACAAGAGAAAATCAGTGAAGCCAGAAGTTGGTTCTTTGAAAAGATCACCAACATTAACAAACCATTAACTTAGATTCCTAAAGATTCCACCAAAAAAAACTGGTAGAATAAACAAAGCCAGTCAAGTTGCAAAATGCAAAATCAATATACAAAAATCACTTGTGTTTCTATACACCAACAACAAACTATCTGAAAAAGAAATTAAGAGAACAATCACATTGACAATTGTGTCAAAAAGAATAAAATGCCTAAGAATAAATTTAATCAAGGAGGTGAAAGACCTGTACTCTGAAAACTGTAAGACACTGATGAAAGAAAAGGAAGAAGACACAAATGAATGGAAAAAGAGTCTGCACGTGGCTAGGAAGAGTTAATATTGTAAAATGTCTATACTACCCAAAGCAAGCTATAGATTAAAAGCAATCTCTGTCAAAATTCCAAGGCATTTTTCACAGAAATAGGACAAACAATCCTAAAATTTGTATGGGGCCACAAAATTTGTTATCTTTTGTTTTTTTGATGATACCTATTCTAACAGGTGTAAGGTGATATCTCTGGTTTTAATTTGCATCACCTCTGATGATCAGTGACGTTGAGTATCTTTTCATGTCTGTTGGCCATCTGTATGTCTTCTTTGGAAAAATGTTTAGTTCCTCTGCTCATTTTTTTAAAGGTTTATTATTTATTTATTTATTTAGAGGGAGAGCACGCATGGGTGGGGGGAGGGGCAGAGGGAAAGGGAGAGAGAATCCCAAGCAGACTTTTCGCCAAGCACAGAGCCTGTTGTGGGCCTCCATTCCACAACCCTGAGATCATGGCCTGAGCCTAAATCAAGAGTCAGATACTTAACCAACTGAGCCACCCAGGTGCTCCATCGTCTGTTCATTTTTTAATCAAATGGTTTGGTTTTTTGTTACTGAGTTGTAGGAGTTCTTTATATATTTTGGATATTAGCCTCTTATCCAACTGTTTTACAAAACTGCTCTCCCATTTTGTAGGTTATCCTTTCATTTTCTTCCCTTTCATTTTGTTAATTGTTTATTTTGCTCTGCAGAAACTTTGAAGTTTGATGTACTCCCAATTGGTGATTTTTGCTTTTGTTGTTTATGCTTTTGGTGTTATATCCAAAAAATCATCACCAAGACCAATATCAAGCAGTTTCTTCCCTACATTTTCTACTAGGAGTTTTATGGTATCAGTTTTATAGTATTTTGATTTATTTTGAGTTAATTTGTGTGAGTGGTGTAAGGTAGGAGCCCATTTCCATTGTTCTGCATGTTTTCCCAGCACCTTTTGTTGAAGAGACTGTCCTTTCCCTGTTGGGTTGTCTTGGCTCCCTTGTTGAATATTAGTTGACCATATATGCCAGGATTTGATCCTGGACTCTCTATTCTGTTCCATTAGTCTGTATGTCTATTTTATGGCGGTACCATACTGTTTTTATTATTGTATAGAAATGCTACTGATTTTTGGATATTGATCTTATATCCTGCAACTTCACTAACATTGTTGCTTAGTTCTAACAGTTTTTTGGTTGAGTCTTTGGGATTTTCTATATACAAAAGCATATCATCTGCAGATAGTGACACTTTTACTTAATTCCTTTCTGATTTGGGTGCTGTTTATTTCTTTGTCTTGCCTGATTGCTCTGATCAGGACTTCCAATACTACAGTGAGTAAGAATGATGAGAGTGGGCATCCTTATCCTGTTCCTGATCTTAGAGGAAAAACTCTCAGGTTTTCACCATGGAGTATAATGTTAGCTATGATTTGTATTAACTGCCCTTTATTATCTTAAGGTTTGTTCCTTCTATACCCAATCTGTTGATGTTTTTTATCATGAAAGGATATTGTATTCTGTCAGATGCTTTTTCTGCATTTATTGTGATGATCACGTGACTTTTATCATTCTCTTAATATGATGTAATATATTTATTGATTTGCATATGTTGAACCATCCTTCCATCCCAGGGATAAATCCTACATGGTCAATGGTGTACAACTCTTTTAAAGTGTTCTTAACCGACTGAACCACCCAGGCACCCCTCTTTTAATGTGTTCTTGAATTCAGTTTGCTGGTATTTTGTTGAGAATTTTTGCATCTATATTCATCAAGGATATTAGTCTATAGTTTTATTTTTCAGGTCAGTTATTTTATTTTTCTGTGATTTGGAATAGATAATTCTGTTTCTTTATTTTCCTTGACTCTCTGTGTTAATCTCTATGCATTTGATAAAATAACCACCTCTCCCTATCCTGACAGAATGGTCTTGTGTAAGAGATAAAAACCTCCTCAGTCCAGCCTGAGCTCCTGCTTGTCTCCCACACCATGGCAGTGCCCGGGCAGCCTTGTTTGTTCTCAGAGGCTCCCAGAATTCAGAATTAGTGTCCCAAAGGGGAGCATCAGTCAGCACCTAGATCGGGCTCCCTGGAAGCCTGTGTAAATAGTTTTCTTTAGGGACAGACTGGGAGATGGGTGTTTCTGTCTGAGCCCTCGGCACTGAGCCAGTTAAGAACTGTTTCTTGGTTTGCTGTGGTTCTATGGGACCCACAAATGCAAGCCACCAGAGCCAGGTGCTCAAGCGGTGTATCCTCTGGGCCATCGCCACCAACGCTGGGGCACCTACCAGCCTCCCAGGTCCCTAGGGAAGATCGCAGTCAACCCCTAAATGTGTGCTAAACTAGAAGCCTGACCCGCAGGCCGCAGCCTCTTTCAAATAGCTGGGAGACAGGCATTTCTATCTGCCTCCTCTATGCTGAGCCTTGGGGTGCTGAGGCGGAGGGAGGGGGGCCAGTTAGAAAGTATTTGCTCCAGTCGGGTGGGTCTTCTGGATGCAAGCCCTCTTGGCTTTCACTCTTAAAAGTTGAGACACTAGAGGTTGGGTTCAAAATCTTTGCCCTCAGGGGGAAGCTGGAGTTGTGAGTTCTCCTGTTTGTGTCACTGTGCCAGGGGTGAGGATTATGGTGAGAGTGTGTCTCAGCCTTTCCTGTTGGGAAGTGAGGACTCTTCATTTGCCCAGTGTGTCGCAGTTGCTCAGCTAGTTTCTCTATTTCTTTCATGGGGAATTGTTCCATGCGTAGCTGTAGCTTTGGTGCATCCGCAGGCACAGGTGAGTTCAGAGGGCTCCTCCGTCGCCATCTTGGACAAGAGCTCCCTGTTGCATATTCTTTCACGCTTGGTATGTTTGATTTTGGTATTTACTGCAGTTCTCCTGATATTCATTATTTTTTTGTGTATTTTTTGTATTTTCATTCATTTACCCCACAAATTCTTATTTTTAATATTGTCCATTTGTTTTTCCTATTATCCAGCAGTAGGATAGAAAAAAGTAAACTCTAAATTTCAGTCAGAACCTTACTTATTAACAGGCTACATTCCCTTCCAGCTCGCAACCAGGGCCTTCACAGGAAGTTTCTAATATTTTAACTCATTGAACTCAAAAAAGTGTATTTGAAATGTATATAAAATGTTAATGGATACACTTAGTGTTTTAAAAGTGACTGTAGTAGTTAACTCCACTGGTTTGAAGCCCTTCATTGAGATTTTCTCCTCACTCAGTTATGTACTGCCTCCTATTTAAAAAAAAAAAAAAATAGGTCTTTTATTCACCTAGGCCCTAATATAAAAAATATTTCCAAAAAATCTAGGGAACTTTAGGGGAAATAAATAATGCCACAACATATGATATCACATGAGCATTCATTAAAAATGTTCCTTTGGGGAACATAGTGCCTATCATAAAAGGAAATTTCATGGGTTTACATGAAAAGATGTTCAGCATCACTCATTGTCGACCTCTGAGAGTCTTGGAGCTGGGGTGGCGAAGGAACTGAGGAAAAAAGACGACAGTACAGCGAGGCACAGGGGACCCCGAGCAATCAGCCCGAGGTGCCGAGGTTTATTTTCCATAATCTTACATACCTTCTACAGCAATATAGATCTATAATGATTTACAGCAGGGGCTTAGTAAGGCACATTCTGCCATGTACAGAGGATTAGTCCAGCGTGTATGATAAGGATCTTTAAAGCAGGACAAAGGAACAAAGAGGGGAGTGCACAGTGTGGTGTTTACAGCTGGCTTCCTATCTACAGAACATCTCCTGGTGCCTACTTTAGAACTGACCGCACACGTCCCAAGGGCTGTGGGAAACAGAACGCCACAACAACCACTGGTGCATGTTCATTCAGACTCCGAGATCTCTGAGAAAACTGGAGATTGCAGGGTTAAAAATAACCCAAAAGGATCAGAGTGAAATGCCTTGGGACGTGTGCGGCCAGTTCTAAAGTAGGCACCAGGAGATGTTCTGTAGATACGAAGCCAGCTGTAAACACCACACTGTGCACTCCCCTCTTTGTTCCTTTGTCCTGCTTTAAAGATCCTTATCATACACGCTGGACTAATCCTCTGTACATGGCAGAATGTGCCTTACTAAGCCCCTGCTGTAAATCATTATAGATCTATATTGCTGTAGAAGGTATGTAAGATTATGGAAAATAAACCTCGGCACCTCGGGCTGATTGCTCGGGGTCCCCTGTGCCTCGCTGTACTGTCGTCTTTTTTCCTCAGTTCCGTCGCTGCCCCAGGTCCACGACTCTCAGAGGTCGACAACTCATCATCAGGGAAATGCAAATCAAAACCACAGTAACACCTCACACCTGTTAGGATGGCCAAAGTCAAAAACACAAGAAACAACAGGTGTTGGCGAGGATGTGGAGAAAGGGGAACCCTCATGCACTGTTGGTGGGAATGCAAACTGGTGCAGCCATTGTGGACAACAGTATGGATCAGTGGTACTGATCACTACCATATGATCAGTAATTCCACTACTGGTTATTTACTCAAAGAATGTGAAAATACTAACTGGAAAACATACATGAACCCCGATGTTAATAGCCGAGTTATCTACAATAGCCAAGATATGGAAGCAGCCCAAGTGTCCATCGACTGATGACTGGATAAAGATGTATATATACTATAGAATATTACTCAGCCATAAAAAATGAAATCTTGCCATTTGCAACGACGTGGATGGAACTAGAGAGTATTATGCTAAGCGAAATAAGTCAGAGAAAGATCAATGCCATATGATCTCATTCATATGTGGAATTTGAGAAACAAAACAAACGAACAAAGAAAAAGCCAAAAAAACAGACTCTTAACTCTAGAGAACACACTGATGGCCACCAAAGAGGAGGTGGGTAGGGGGAGTCGGGGAGTAGGGGATGAGGATTAAGGAGTGTGCTTGTGAGGAACACTGAGCAATGTATAGATTGCTGAGTCACTATATTGTACACCTGAAACCAATATAACACTGTATGTTAACTACACTGGAACTAAAGGAATCAAATGACAGTACAAAGCAAAAAAAGAAAGAGAAAGGAATTTCATTGTGTTTAATTGAATCAGTAAATCCTACACTTGAATATTTATATAGCTCACTAGGTCATGAGTAGCAAGAACATTTTCTCAGAAAAATCAGAGGGCATGAGCAAGCAAACAAAAACAGCATTTTATATTAGAGTAAAAACAACTGAGTGATTATTATGGGTGAACCAGGAATAAATAGAGTAATCATGCCAAAAGTAGCTAATGTGTATATATTTTTTTAATTAGGTATTTTCACCAGGATAACATCTTTAGAATAGGAGGGGTAATGATAAATTAGAAACTGCGTTCAATAAGCACAATTTTGTACATATGATTTCATGAACAAACTGTGTTCAAGTCTCTGTGCTAAACACTGTCTTCAAAGATTTTGAGAAGACACAAACATCTTTTAAAAATATAAATATAAAATATAAATAGCAATATAAGGATAATATAAAGATAATAAGGCCACAACCCAAGAGATAATATCAGGCAATTAATAATTACTTCTCACGGTGGTTATAAACAGTACGTCAGTGTAGATGTGACAGGACTGAGGCTTTGTGACAGCTAGAATGTGATAATGTATTTTAAAGAATGCCTTGGATCTACATCCCTTTAAGGAAGGATTTCAGGGTAAGGGAAGGATGTGAGCCAAACCCCAGAGGCAAAAACATTTAAGGAGCATGGACAAAATGCGTTAGAAAGCAGTCTGGCTACAGGGTAATATTGTTGGAAAGGAGACGACACTGGGGAGGGAGGTTGGGGTCGGATCAGAGAGGCTTTTATTGACGGGGCCAAAACTTCGGGCCATATCCGTGGGTGATCATTTCTATAGAAATTCACCAAATGCTTTTGAGCAAAGGCATTATCAAGATAAGTGCTAATTTAAGAATATCATTTTTGTCAGCTATTCATGACGATATCTTTCCCCAGACAGCCCAGGCATAGTTTAAGGCCCCTTTATCCTACCAGCCTCACTTCAAAACCCCATTAGTTCCTCCCGGCTGGTCAGTGTATCTGGAATGAGAAAGTTCAGTCAGAGAAGGAAACTGGATATAACATTTTCTGTGTGAAAAAGAAATCAGAAAATGATGAATCTTCAAGTGCTGAGCTTGTACAAAAGCCTGTTTGAGGAAAGTGGCATTAAAGACAAACTGGAGTATCAGGAATCATTTATTTACTGACTACATTTTTATTGTTAACATAGCCCATCTCTCCAGGAAGATATTCCAGGATGTGAAAATGAAGTGGCCATGCACTGTATTTATATAAGTGACAATTAAACTCTTGAGGCAAAATGAGAGTAGTAGTGTGTCTCAATAATGAATGAATTGTCTTTCAGGTTGAAGAACATCTGCTGTTTTTGCAAGCAGCCTACAAAGACATAGTTGCTGAAAAACAACTCTTAGCCAACAGAAGAAAACTGGCCACCAAGCGCCTGCAGTGTGCATCTATCCTACTAACCACTCTGGAGGATGAGAAGGCATGACTCTCTTTGGCTCTGTATCTCCTTCAGTAATTTCTCCCGGGCTTGACAAGCCCCAAGATGCTATTTCACCCAAGGTTGTATCATGTACTCCCTAAAACTATCTTATCATCCAGCTGTTTTTTACTGAGATCAGTAGGCACTTGTGATAAAAATAAAGGAGTTCTGGTCAAGTGTCTTAACCCAGAGGCAACAGACTACAAGGAACCAACCTGACTTTCTCTTGCTCCCCAGACCACAGTTCTCCAGTCTGATGAGGTCCACGGTAAAATGTCAGTAAGCTTTCCCTGTTGAGCACAGGGACAACCCAAGCCAAATGCATAAACCAAGAGCGGCTAAAGGGGATAAGATGTCATAAGGGAGAAGAACATTTTATTCTGCTCTGTCAATCCTCAGACCTCTTTTATCTCTTTTTTTAAATTTCTGCTGATCTTCTCTAAGTTTCAACTTCTTGGTCTTAAAATGGCTTTTATTTAATAGGATATTGAAAGTGTCAAATGAGATTTTCAAAGTAAAATTCCTGTTAGACATGGAAGGATTTAATAAATATCGGTCACTATTATTATGGAACCCCATTAATAATAGAATGAATTGTTATTTTAAAATTATCCTGCTTTATGACTCAGAGGACTTGATGTGGCTATCGGTGCTAACAAATACAACACTGTTGACAAATCCAATAGGACTCATGTTCTCCTTAGAAAACTGTTTTATAATATTATCCGATACTAATTTTAATGCAAACACAGCATGAGAACAGTAATAGTAATAGCATTGCTAGATCCAAGTTGGAGACCATGAATATCTTAAATGTCTCATAATAGTATATTTTATGTCAAATAACAAGAACTCACTTTTATTTTAACATTTAGACTCGATGGCAAGAAACAATCAATCAAATAGACAAGAAGTTGGAAGGAATTTTGGGCGACATACTTATTTCTGCAGCGTGCATTGTCTACACTGGAGTGTTAACAGCAGAATTTCGCCAGTTAATTGTGAACAAATGGGAGACTCTTTGCCCTAAAAACAACATTTCTTTGTCTTCTAACTTTTCTTTAATTGAAGTCATGGCACAAAAACACGAGGTAGTAACATGTTTCTATTATCCTGTTAAGTGGCTGTTGTTGATTTGAATTTTGGGTGTAAATGCATTTTTTTAAACTGGGATCTGTTCCCCAAATTGTTTTGATAAAGGAAGATACTGTAATTTTTTCCAGGTCTTTAAAAAAAATTTTTTTTAATTATAATTCTAATGCTGCAGCTAGTTACATCTCTTATTTATCATACTCTGGGCAAAAGTCACAGAAAATCCTCTAACTCATTGTAATCCTACTGCCTCGCCCTAATAAATAGAGCCAGTTTCTCTCCCAGAAGCCCCTTTCATTAATAAAATTGGTGAACTCAGGGCACCTGGGTGGTTCAGTAAGTTAAGCATCTGGCTATTGATTTTGGCTCAGGTCATGATCTCAGGGTCGTGGGATCAGGCCCTCTCTCCCTTTCCCTTTGCCCCTCCCTGCACTTGCTCACTCATTCTTTCTAAAAATGAGTAAATAAAATCTTTAAAAAAATAAAATAGGTGAACTTACTGAGCCACAGGTAGTATTCTTAGAAAGAGCCAAAAACATAGACCTCACATTTATCAATAAATATTTATTGTCTATCTATCTATGTTGAGGGGATAAAAAAGAAATACACCTTTTTTTATTCATCCCCAAAGAGTAATTTTAGATTGATTCCCCCACTGATAACCCAACTTAAACTGACCATCCAATCTACAAAATGTCTCAGAAGCAAATACTGGCTTCTCATTTTCATAATGCTAATAACCAACTTAAACCCAAATATATCAATAATTACATTAGATGTAAGTGGTCTAAAAGGTCCACTTAAAAGGGTAAGATTCTAAGACCATATAAAAATATAAACCAAAGCATAAAACAGAAACCGTAAGTTATCTAGAAAGGACACATCTAAAACATAAAGGTTGACAGTAAAAAAAAAAAAAAATGGGAGGAAATTTCCACAGATTACCAAAAAAGGACAAAATAGACTATAAGGCAAAAAAAGATTATTAGAATTAAATAAGTTTATGTTACAATAAGAATTAGTTTAAGTCTCCAAGAATGTTTTATCAATTCTGAATTTGTACCTACTAAGACGACTTCAAATAATTTTAAAGCACACATTAAAAGAACTATAGATAAAAATGGACAAATCTACAATCTTAGTGAAAGATCTTAACACACTTCTTCCTATAACTCATAGAAAAAAAAGCACAAAAATGAGTAAGAATAGAGAAGATTTGAGCAACATAATCAGCAAACAGACTTAATGAGCATACACAGGACACTGCAGCCTACACCTGAAACTTACACATTCTATGCAAGCACATGTAGAACACTACCCAAAACTGACCATATAACCAACCACGAAAATGTTTCAACAAATATCAAAGGACTGAAATCACAGAGTACGTTATCTGTCCAAAAAGCAACTAAGCTAGAAGTCAATAATTAAAAGCTTCTTTGAAAATCCCCATATTTCTGGAAATTAGGACATACACTCCCAAACTAACCACAGGTCAGAGAAGCAATCAGAATTGAAAAAATGAAGCATTGGTCAAAGTTTTTCCATTGAGACTAGAAACATATCCACCGTCTCCACTGTATCTAACACCCTAGCAGAGATCCTAGATAGTGCAGTAAGGCAAGAAAAAGATATTAGGATTGGAAAAGAAGAAAAAAACAAAAAATAGAAATTCTTGCAGATATGTACCTAGAAAATCCAAGAGGATCTATAGATACATCATCAGAATTCATAAAACTTTAGTAAAGTTTCTCAACGTTTCTGGAATTGAAGTCAGTATATGGAAACTAATTGCATTTCTCTACACCAGCAACAAACAGGGTGCACAATGTTTGTAGATACCCTTTATCATAGCATCAAAATGAATCCGTCAAGAAGTTGTGTGAAACTTACAGAAACAAAACTATAAAATAACTATTGTGATAAATTTTAAGAAACCTAAATAAGTGAAGAGTTATGCCATGTTCATGAACTGAAAGACTCAGTATCCTGAAGCTGCCAGTTCTTCCCAAATGGGCTGTAGATCCAGTGTAATCCCAATCAGCATTCCAGCAGGTAGGGGAGCAGGTACGTGCTTACCTGACAAACTGATTCTGAAAGTTAAAAGAGAAGGCAGAGAGCCAACGTGTCTAAGATATTGTTGATGAAGAACAAGGTGGAAGGACTTGCTGTATCAAATATCAACATTTAGGACATTTAGTTAGAACAGTGGAATTATTTATCCATGTGTGTCCCAGTGCAGGACAAACACCACCACCAATGGGGCAGAACAGAGAGCCCAGAAACAGACCTACCCATACATGGACATCTGATTTATGACAAAGCTGATACCGCAGTGCAGTGAGGAATGGGTAGTGTTTTCAATAAATAGTGAATATCCAGAAGTGAAAGAAAAAGAAATTTGATCATTACCTCACACCATATATAAAAATTCAATTGCAACTGAATTGTGGACCTAACTGTGGAAGGCAAGTTAGTAAAGCATAATTTAAGAGAATATGTTCATGACCCCAAGAAAAGATTTTTTAAGCGGAACTAACCATAAAGGAAAACATTAATTGATTTACATTAAAATTTAGACTTTCTGTTCATCAAAAGACAGCACTCAGAGGATATAAAGAGAAGTCAATGAATAGAAGAGGATATTTGCAATAAAAAGAACTATTACCAATCAGTAAGCTAAAGACATACAAGCCAGTAAATAAGTGGGTAAGAACCTTGAACAGGCGGCTCACAAAATCACCAATAAACATTTGAAAGGTGCTTAACCTCATTATTCATTAGGGGAATGAAAGTTAAATCTAAAATGAGATATGGTAACACATCAGCCAAAAGGACTAACATTTGAAAGACTAATAATTTTAAGAGTTAGCATGGATATGAAGTAACAGAAATTCTCATACACTGCTGGTGAGAATATAAAATGCTAAAATCGTCTTAGAAAGCTGACTTTAGCTACAAGTATTAAAAATACACATCCCTGGGGTGCCTGGGTGGTTCAGCCTGTTAAGCATCCGACTCTTGATCTCAGCTTGGGTCTTGATCTCAGGGTCGTGAGTTCAAGCCCCATGTTAGGTTCCATGCTGGGAGTGGAGCCTACTTAAAAAAAAAAAACCCGTGGGGACACCTGGGTGGCTCAGTTGGTTAAGCATCTGCCTTCGGCTCAGGTCATGATCCCAGGATCCTGGGATCGAGTCCCACATGGGGCTCCTTGCTCAGCAGGGAGGCTGCTTCTCCCTCTGCCTGCCGCTCCCCCTGCTTGTATTCTCAAGCTCTCTTGCTCTCTCTCTCTCTGGCAAATAAATAAATAAAATCTTTAAAAAAAAGTTATAATAAAAAATTTTTTTAAAAAACCCATGACCAACATTCCTAGGTGTTTATCCATAAGAAATGCATATGTAAGTTGATCAAAAGAATATAAAAGAATGTTCATTGTAGCATTATTCATAATAGCCCAAAACTTGAGAAACACTCTAAATGCCCTCACCAGTAGAATGGATAAATAAATCTAAGTGTGTTCGTAAATACAGCAGTGAGAATGAATAAATACAGTTATAAAAAAAAACACAGATGAGGTCAGACAGAAAAGGGAATATCTTGAAGATTGCCTTTATCTAAAGTTCCAAAATTAGCAAAATGAAAATTAGAGCATTTAGGAACACATACTTTGGTAAAACAATAAAGAAAAGCACGGAAGTCAGAATGATTTTTCTTTTAAGATTTTATTTATTTGACAGAGCGAGAGAGCGCAAGCAGGGGGAGGGACAGGCAGAGGGAGAAGCAGATCCCACTGAGCAAGGACCCCGACGCGGGGCTCGATCCCAGGACCCCAGGATCATGACCTGAGCCAAAGGTAGCTGCTTAACCGACTGAGCCCCCCTGGCGCCCCTTGATTGATTGTTTTTTTTTTTAAATAGAAACTCTTGGGTCGGAAGTTTGTCTCTCTCCCCGCGCTGATCTTGTGCACCTGTGCAGACGGAGCTACTCCTGGGTTTCAGGACTCTTCATCCCCTGTCCAGGTTCCTCTTGTGTAGACTTCGAGAGCATGCAGTTCTTCACAGGCTTAGACAAAATACTTCTTTCCTTTAGAAACTGACAGGTATCCTTGGCTTCTCCGGGGACGCTCTGCCACCTTTCACTGGACCGTCCCTGGGTCCTGTTCCTTCTCTGACCTCCATGAGCCTCCCTGGCTTTTTTCTCCCAACCTGCCGGTACTGCCCTGAAGTCAGAGCTGCAGGCAAAGACTCTGTAAAGATGAGAAGTTTATCAGTCTTGGAGTCAGCATCTGAGTCAAACCCTGGGTCTGCGTCTTCCTCCGACAGGATGACCACGGGCAGACCCCGGTTCCTCCTCCCGAGAAATGAGCGTTGTTGTCTCAAATGAGCTAGATAGTGTATGTGTGTGCTCGGCAGGAGGTGGGTGTGCAACAGAGGAACTGTAATTACCTCTGTATCATTCTGGGTTCTTGCATGGCTCATGTGTGCATTCGAGTCCAAGATCCTTGGGAACAGTTCTTACCTCTCTCCCATCATCTTTGTTGTGATGGGCATTTGTCCTCCCTGATGAACAGAAAAATGTCACTTAGTGAATAATTACTCATCTTACCCAAAATTTCATATCCCAGTATTTTTAATTGTTCATCTCCTTCGTCCTTTTAAAGAGTATTTGATTTTTCTAAAGGCAGTGATCCTGTAGGATCCTGAAGATGTGAACAAGTGTATGAAACCGTAAGGTACCAATGCTCTCGTTCCAGATCAGCCGATGGCACTCTCAGGGGCTCCCCCTTGGTCAGTATTCAACCGACAATGCCATCCTGATCAAGAACGGCCTGCAGTGGCCGCTGCTGATTGACCCACACAAGCAGGCGCACAACTGGATCCGGCAGATGGAAGGGCCCCGGCTGCAGGAGCTCTCCATCAAGGACAGCAGTTACATCCAAACAATTGAAAATGCTATGAAAACAGGAGGGAGTGTCCTCTTGCAGGTATTTGGGTGGAATGGCCTCACTCCCTAATTCCATGCAGCTGACATATATACTGTGTGCCCCGAGCATAGAAACTAAAAGCTTTGAGTTAGAGGTAACTTTGTCAGGGGAAAAATAATAAATAAACAGGGGCGCCTGGGTGGCTCAGTCGGTTGAGCGTCTGACTCTTGATTTCGGCTCAGGTCTTGATCTTGGGGTCGTGGGATGGAGCCCTGTGTTAGGCTCCACGCTCAGCAGGGAGTCTGCTTGGAGAGTCTCTCTTTCCCTCTTCTTCTGCCCCTCCCCCCTTGCACATGCATTCTCTCTCTCTCTCTCTCAAAATATGTAAAATCTTTTTTAAAAAATAACAAAATAATAAATACAGTGACTTTTCAATGTTCAGTTCTCTCAGATCAGGCTTTCTTTGGTGTCCAAATACTAACAAAATTTACTTTTTATTTTTCTTAGAGACAAGAAAGAGCGGGGGAGGGGGAGCAGCAAAGGTAAAGAGGAGAGAATTGCAAGCAGACGCCCTGCTGAGCACAGAGCCCGATGTGGGGCTCGATGCCATGACCCTGAAATCATGACCTGAGCCTAAATTCAAGAATCAGACACTCAACCAACTGAGCCACCCAGGTGCCCCAGATAAACATTTTTTTTAAATGCTCTGTCTTTTCAACTGATTGATTTGTTATAAGATGAGCTTTTCATTTATGTGTGTTGGGTTTTTCAGAATCTCCCTGAAATATTACCTCCAAGTTTGAAGGCAGTTTTGAAGAAGGATATCCATCAGAGAAGAGGACAGTATTTCATAAGGGTTGATGGTTCTGAGATTGAATACAATTCCAAATTTAGGTAAAGTCTCTTCCTGTGAAATTGAGTCAAATGTTTATATTTTTTAAGACAAACACTATTGAAGGCCTGTATTTCCATACTGGTAAGCTTCTCCCGGAGGAAAGAGTGAGGTTGCATTGTGAACGTTTTGTCTGTTTGTCTGCGTGTCCTGTTGCCCTCATCAGCACACAGAATAGAGAACTGAGTTTTGTTTATCAAGCTTTCCAAACCAGCATTCTCCATGCTGTTCCTGATAAGACCCACGGGTTCAGGGGGAGTCCTCAGAAGGTGTACAAAGCCTGGCCCCACTTGATCCACAAGAACTCCAGTTGATCTGTTTGCCTAACATTTTATTTCAGCAGGAAAACCTTCTGCTCCTTTAAAAAACAAAATCCATATTGGATATCCAGAGCAAAAAGAGATTCGGCCTGGGCCGATAAAAACGTTGTATTCATGTTCCCAGCAGCAAGGGACCTTCTGGAATGCAACCCCCACCTTCCTAACTTCCCCCTTGCCAACGTCACAAAGCTCTTTTATAGAGTCAGGTTTACTTACCACAAAAATATAATTCCCACTCTGCCCTTGAATTCACTGTGTGAGCAAGTCCTCAGCAAGGGGAGCTGGAAAATGGGTTTACTGGTCCCCAGCTGGTGCACTCCACTGCCTTACAGGGGCCCTAACACTCTGAGTGCTCACGTGGTCAGTGGGTCCTTGCCCCCAGGCCGGGCTCTGCAGCCTTGCCCCTCACCACACTTGTACAGCCTGGACTCCCCTCGCCCAGCCTCCCTCCTTCTTGCCAAGTATGTTCCTCAGAACAACATTCTAGGGTGTCACTCAAAAAAGGGCCCCATACTTCTTAAAAGCACTAGGCTAAACAAACAGGATCCTTTCCTCCAAGGACATGAAACCCCTTCAATGTGACAGATGCTCTCCCGGGCGCAGTGTTCTGCAGGACATGGTTCTTCCTTTCTCCCTGAACATTATTGCTTGAGCAACAGCTCTAGGAATGCTAATGATGTAACATTTTGCCGAATTGCCCACCTAGTGCCCATGTTCGATTGTGTGTTTGAGGAGGTGGTGGAGGGCACCCCTGTGGAGGGCAGACAGGACCCGGCTCCCCACTCTGTCACTGTGTGATGTGAGTGACTTATTGAACCTCTCTTCATAAAATGGAACGAGGAGCTGTTCCTGCTGGGCTGAGTTGCTGGGGAGACTAAGCAAGGTCAAGAATCACTCCTGACCCTCCCCCCACCCCGGACCACCCAACTCCAGACTCACTCGCAAACCAGTCTCCTGGCTTCCTTCTCCCCCACCCCCCAACCTCCCACCCAAGGTTACTCTCCAAGCAGCAGTGGTCCCTTTAGGGAAGGTCGTCCTCCCTTTACTCACACCCTCCACCAGGCTGTCACTCATTCTCACTCACTGGTGGCAAAAACAACAGTATTGACAATCATCTAACGGCCGGTCAAAGCTCCTACTAGCTAGCACTTTACTTTCCTCTGTCCCAATGTTTCACCAAATATAGTAGGGACATCAACTATGGTTGTATTTCTTAAAGTTGTAAATAGCAAACGTATTCACACGGTATAAAGCGAGAGCCTATAAAGCAAGAGCCTCTTCTGTGTACAAGGCTGAACAACACTAAAAATTAATCTTCTTTACTTCCAGGAGAAACATTTTTTCCATTATTTAATTAGTTTCATTTTTTTTTCTCTACAGACCCTTTGACTAACCAGTGCCTTTCTCATTCTTTAGGTTATACATATCTACAGAAATAGACAACCCCCATTTTCCTCCGTCAGTGTATAACTTTGTTACGATGATCAACTTCACGGTAACATTCCAAGGTTTGCAGGAAGAGCTCCTATCTACCATATTAACTCATGAAGTTCCTTCCTTAGAAAATCAACGTCTCCAACTATTGGAGAGTATTTCCCTTGATGCTACAACCCTTGAAGAACTAGAGGAAAAAACATTGAATGTACTGCAGAATGCACAAGGTTAGTGCAAGTCTTTAGTGACGTTAGGAGACCTTTGTGTACCTCTATGAAGGACGGAATGAAAGCTCTAAGAACCACATTCTGAATTGGTACCCAAAATATCAGATCTGCATTTCTACCAGATAACTGATTAATGTGGGTGAAACACCCCATTTCTAAAATTAAAATATTGTGGATGTTGATGTTCCTACATTCCTACCTCTGCTTTAGTTCATTATACCATATGACATTGGCCACGAGATAATCATGCAAGATGTAAGAAAAATCTTATGGAGGCCACTCTGTCATATATCTGACATCTGTTATATGTATCAAGTTGGATTGTAGAGACCAAAAGATGAGGTTTTCCCCAAGTTTAATAATTAAAATAGACCAGGACAGAATACAGTGACTTACTCATATGTGTCCCATTAAAATATGGTGTTTATTAAAATACCAGTGGAAATTACTTTCCTCTTCAACACAAACCATAGTCTTTAAATTTTAACCATATAATTTCTTAAACAACTAAATCTAAAGCACTGTAAATTCCTGGGGGCACACTGACCTATCTGCTCCTAAAAGCGGATCTGGATATCCAGTTTCAACATGCAGGATGGGGTTCCCCCATGCTAATAACAATGCTCAGACACTAGGTGGGTGTCCTACAATTCAACTCCATTCTGACCCGATCTACCCCTTAAGGTTTCAGTCCGACAAGACTGCCCCTCCCCACAGACAGGCTCCAGAGAGAAGTTCCAGCAAAGCCCCTCCTGAGGTTTGATTAGTTTGCTAGCAGACTAGAATTCAGGATAACACCTGTTTGCTCACTGGATTACTGGTCTCTTCTGAAAGGATGAACTGGGAACAGCCAGGTGAAAGAGATACACGGGGCGAGATGTGGAGGATGGTTGCGGGGGGCCTTTGTTGGGGGTCACTGTCCTGGCAACCACCCCACCCTTAGAGGGAGACTAAAGTCACCTAATTAACATAACAAAAGATGCCTTTATTCCTCTCATCCCCAGGGTATTCAGCGCTCTAAGCTGAATACTTACACCTCCTTATACAAAGACCTCCTGAATATTTCCTATTATAAGTCACAGTATCGCAGCTCCTGACTCATCTGTGATCAAATACTTTTTATCTAGCAGTGGATTGCCATTCTCTCTTAACTGGTGACTCAGTGGGGCTTGAAAGTCTCTCCGATACTTTAGTTCCCTAGTAAGGCTCTGGCTGTATTCCTTCCTATTTTAATTACACCTAATACACTATTTCTGTGTAACACACGGCTGAGCCATGCTTCTGTTCATGACAAAACTAGGACGAGGTTGCATGGACCAGGTTGTCACATCTGTTTCTCTGGGAGGGTTGGAATGAATCAGCAGCTGATCACTCCTTAGGGAGCAAAACCAGGACACGTAGGGATGACGTGACCCACAGGAGGTGACTGTTGGTTTAACAAGACTCGCAAGTATAGCCTCTCCTGTTCTAGGAACCACTGTATGACAGATGTCATGTTTGGCTGTAACTTTTGCCCAAACTGGACAAAAGATAGATTTAATGAGACAAATGGGAAGTTGTTTATGATAACACCCATCACACTATAAGATTCTTTTTAAGACTAACCTTTTACGAATAGTGGTTATAATACAAATTGTTCTTGAAAAAAACTAAATAAAAAGACTCCTCGATTTGGTACATATTTTTTCCTCCCTTTTTCCACGTTTTAGTAAAGTAGATCATCCTTACTGTCTCTTTGTAAATAGTGTATCTTTAGGGTGGCCGCCCACTCCTTGTGGGCAATGGTGTGGTGGGTGGGGACTCAGAAATAGCCCACAGCCAAGGTCCCAACATTACTAGAAAGCTTCACTAAAATCAATCAGAATATGGTATCCAGGTCATGGAATGTAATACTCCCATAATTCCTTACAATGATGATATGAAGCTGTGTTTAGTTCTTGATATGGGTGTAATTTCTAAATGTTTTTGGTGAGGTTTGTTGGGGTCCAGAGCTGATGGCCAAGAAAGAATTCTTGAGATGTCTTTGGTGCAAAGTGGTGGTTTTATTAAAGCACGGGGATGGGCTCCGCGGGCAGAAAGAGTTGCTGTCTTGGGATTGTGAGGAGCAACTGGTTATATACCTTGGTGGTTGTGGAAAGTAAAAATAAGAAAAGTTCCCAAAGAACTTTCATATGCCAAAGAAGATCCTCAGGACACTGGAGGCCTTGCTATTGTCAAAACAAGGTGGTTTTTCCCTCTAGCAAGGCAGTCACTTGTAGACAGTGAAGACAGTCAGAGCTTCCTGGAGGAACCTTATACTCCGCCTGCCTCAAATACTTGGCAATGGGCTGCAGATTATAACTGAAGGACATTTGATGGTATCTACATCTCCTTCTGCCTTTGTTTCCCACATCAATACCACACTTTAAGAGGGCTCTTTTCAAACTAACATGTGTCTGGTGTAAGCATCAAGGATAGTGAGGAGTCTATAAATCATATCATTAACAAAAGCAAATGGGAATGTTCATAAAATAGTAGAGTTTATAATGGAAATAGGAGAACTGTCTTGAATATTTGAAAAGGAGAGAATTATTCTGTTTCTAGAGCAGTGCTTTTTTCAAAAGGTAAGTTGCAACCTGTTCGTGGAATGAGAAATCAATTCTGTTGGTCATTACCAACTTTTTGTTCAGTAAAATAGAAAACAATACAAAATATCAGAATGCACGTGCTATTTTCTGGAAATTTTGTCTCCTTGTCTATGCGGATGATGGGTCATTCCTTATGACCAAGTGGCTACTTAACATGTGTTTAAAATGAAAATAGCATCCATCTACTAGAGTAATATAAAGAAGAGATGGGGGGCATGTGTGCTATTAACCAAATTATTCAGAAATACAACCTGTCTTTATTTAGCGGCCCATCTCCCAAATAAAACCACCGAAAATCCAAAAGTAAAAAACTCTTATGGAAAGATTTCAGAATGAAGGAACTGCATTTAATATTCCAGTGGGTTTGGGGGGGGAAGGAAAGATGGCAGAGGAGTAGGGGACCCTATTTCAACTGGTCCCCGGAATTGAGCTGGATATCTACCAGACCACTCTGAGCACCCACGAAATCAGCCTGAGATGTTAGAAGATCTGGATCTCTACAAACAGAATATCGCAGGTGGTTTGTTTCAAGGTACGAAGCAGGGAGGCTTGATTCCACAGGCAGATTTCGGAGGATAAATGGCAGCGGGAGGGTGCCTGGCCGTGGGGATCCTACACCGCCGGTGAGCAACAGCCTTGCGCGCTGGTGATGGGACACAGACTCGCAGACCGGTAGCAGGGAAAGGACTTTAGGGCAGCCCCCAGGACGGAAACCCGGAGCAGCAGGGTCGCGTGTGCGAACTGGGAGTGGCTGGCGGTTTTAGAAACACAAAGGGCAGAGACGTGCCCCGACCTGGAGGCAGGACTGGGGGCCCTGCGGAGGGGCGCACAACCCAGGCCGCTGCAGTTTATAGTAGCACGGACAGAAACAGAGACGGTGTGGGGTGGAGAGCTCACTGAAGTACAGACTGCGGTCTCTCTGCTCTGAGGCAGAGTGTTGGAAATGGTCTTTTCTGCTCTGACTCGCAGAAGAGACCAGAAAGCCACCAGGGAAAGCCACCAGAGAACAAAAGCCCCCAAAACTGATCCCCACTGAGCCCATCCCCCACCACAGGGGGGCAGGGCAACTCCACCCGAACAGGGTTGCCTGAGCAACAGCATGGCAGGCCCCTCCCCCAGAAGACAGGCTGGGAAAACATGAGGCCAGCAACCCTAAGGTCCCAAGAAAAAAGGTGCATCTTGCTTGGGTTCTGGTCAATAATTTGGACTCTATACATTCCCTCAACCACCCATCAATAGAATGACTAGGAGGAGGAGCCCCCAAAATAGAAAAGACTCAGAGATTATGACTTATGCTGTAGATTTACAAATGGATGCAGATATAACCAAGATGTCGGAGATGGAATTCAGGCTAGCAATTGTGAAGACAATAGCTAGAATGGAGAAATCAATTAATGGCAACATAGAGTCTCCTAAGGGCAGAAATGAAAGGGCAGAAAAGAACTTAAAAATGCTATCAATGAGATCCAATCCAATCTAGATAATCTAACAGCTAGGGTAACTGAGGCAGAAGAACGAATAAGCGACCTGGAAGACAATATAATAGATAAAAAGGGAAAAGAAGAGGCCAGGGAAAAGCAACTCAGAATCCATGAAAATAGAATCAGAGAAATAAGTGACACCATGAAGCGTTCCAATGTCAGAATAATTGGAATCCCGGAGGGAGTGGAGAGAGAGAGAGAGGACTAGAAGATGTATTTGAGCAAATCGTAGCTGAGAACTTCCCTAATCTGGGGAATGAAACAAACATTCGCATCCTAGAGGCAGAGAGGACCCCTCCCAAGATCAAGGAAAACAGGCCAATACCCCGGCATGTAATAGTAAAACTTGCAAATCTTAGAACCAAGGAAACCATCTTAAGGGCAGTTAGGGGGAAGAGATTCCTTATGTACAAAGGAAGGAACATCAGAATAACGTCAGACCTATCCACAGAGACCTGGCAAGCCAGAAAGGCCTGGCAAGACATATTCAGCGTACTAAATGAGAAGAACATGCAGCCAAGAATACTTTGTCCGGCAAGGCTGTCATTTAGAATGGATGAAGAGATTCAGAGCTTCCACGACTGGCAGAAACTGAAAGAATATGTGACCACTAAGCCGACCCTGCAAGAAATATTAAGGGGGGTTCTATAAAAGGAGAAAGACCCCCAAGAGTGATATACAACAGAAATCTACAGGGACAATCTATAAAAACAACGTGTTCACAGGCAACATAATGACAATTAATTCGTATCTTTCAATAATCACTCTCAACGTGAATGGCCTAAATGCTCCCATAAAA